AGTAATGAACTGCAAAAGAATGTAACTATATGGAGGGAGAAAGCAGCTATCAATAAAAAAGAAATTTCACCTTTGATTAAGTACCAATCATGTTTTAATAAGAAGATTACAATTGAAAATTAGAAAGAGGAATGAACCTCCAAGTGTTTTGGACTCTGCAAAAATGCCCCAACTGCATGTGGAATTTGGTTACTAGATGATCGGGGTTGAAGACGGAATAGCATTTGGATGCATTCTCAGCATGGTAGACCAGAAGATGTCAAACTCGCGCCCCTCGAACACTCAACAATAATTATAATATTTTTTATTTTTATTAAAAATGAAAATTTACAGAAGTTGATTTGTATAAATTGCAATAATGGTGATATGCAAGAAATTAATATGTAAATGGCATTTGAAATTTAAGGCAGACTTAAAATTTTTGAAGAAAGTTATGTCTCAAATTTACAATAAATTGGGATCTGGTTTTAATACACTGGCTTTGCAACAGAATTAAAAAAGAACCAGTTTCTTTATTCAAACTTGAATACAATAATATTTTGCTTCATTTAGAATTCTCAACGTAAGTAGGTTCAAAATATATTGCAACAACATGAGAACACAATTGCCAGCCAAGCATGCTTAGCAAGGGTACACTTTGTTTGAACTTCACCACAGCTCTTTACGTAATTGTGTCATAACCATATGAAATATATTGAGAAAACATACATGATAAATAAGGTTCAATGCAAATTCTTGAATATATTATTATGTAGAACAGCGAACGAATCGTGAATTGTATAAAAATGGTGCTGATTTTAGGAATGAAAGTGATAGAAGCTTTTACAGTCGTGATGAATTGATTTTGTTTTTATTAAATATGACATACCTCAAGCAGCTCATTCTAAATGTTCTATTACTTATGTAATCACCTTTAGATTTATAAAGCTTGAGTATGTTTCTGTTCTCTGGATTTTTGATGACACGCAATGGCCCGGCAAAAAGTTCACTGAGACTGTTTTTCTATTCCACAGTCAGATTTAAACTTTATCATAGTTCATGTTTTTAATGTAATTTATTATATAGGTATTATTGGACACGTAGTGGACATAGAGATCGTTTCAATATTATGTTGTTGTTCTTGTTATTATTATTCTCCTTCGTCATAATGAAATCGCTTTTCTCTTCGAATACTAGACCAATTATTTAAAATTTTCAGTGGTTAAAGATTGACTTTTTTGCCAGAAGGCTATTACTTTTACTTCTTTCAAAAATTTCTGTGGACTTCAAGAGATTCGTTTTTTATTAGTCAGAATGAAAAAAGCGACACCTTGTGGCGTGAACGTTCTGCGGACATCGTACGCCATTTTGTGTCCGACTGTACGGCTTCGCTTGGTGTGAATATATTTGTAGACTGTGATCTGACGGTACAGTTAACCGTACTGTACTGCGAACAGGCGTGTCCATTTATTTGGGCGTAGCTCTCTTGTATAGATTCTGATTCTAATACATAAAATCAAAAAGGCAACGAACATTATACGAGGTTACACAGCCATGTCATATCGGTATTTAAGAAACTTTGTGCCATTTAACCTTGCCATTAGTGTGCATATTGAAATATATACTATAATATATGATTGTTTGGAATCAACATGATTTGTTATTTCATCATTGGAGTCTTTTGGCCCAATGCTATATTTGAAAGGTTTGTCATACTCTATTTTGTTAGGTTTTAGATTACAATTTATATTCACCTTGTGTAGTCAAGTCAGCAAAACAGACGTTTTTCAGTCTGTGATTTCGCTCCAAAAATTTGCTACTTAAGTTACAATTTCTTCTAATTTAGGCTATGGAGTATGGACTAGGTCTCAATTCAAAGGGCTTATATTACAATAATTCTCATAAATTGGACTAGGTCTTCTTTTCAGGGAAACGCGGTAGTAATCAGTGGCACTAACACAACTTGAGTACCGGACTTCAGTGCTACCAGGTACTGGTACCCAGACATCCTATCTAATATGGTCAGCATAGTATATATAGTACGGTACCGTACTTTTATACCTTCAAAGAGGATATTACGACATACCTGATCCAGTACACTCCAGGTGAACATTGGCACTCAATGAAGCAACAGCTCAAACTCTCGAATGAAAAACGAAACCGCCGCGTCCCCCTGAAGTGAGGTAAAAATAGTGTCTGGCAGAAGCCGTCACGCTCCGATGGTTCGTATGAAAGTTAGTAATTGCCTGACCGTTGCCTCGCTTGTACTATATAAACGCTTTGAGAATACCCAACCCCGTGCAACTAACTTGTCCCATTATGGCGTCATATGGACGCTATTTCGATCATCTGGCTTGGGTAATGTAACGCGAAAAAGCCCAGTTTCAGTAGTTTTTAATGGATCTTGGGGCGGGTTTGCTTCCGGCAATGTGAAGCTCACCCTGGAACTATGTGCAGTCCTTCTTTTCTGTTACCAGTGCAACTATATGACTAACCTCGCACAAGAAACTGCCTGGGTCGGATTTCCAACCTCTACCTAGCCTACAATTTATCTCCAATTTTTTCTTCTCTCGGCATCTGCTAGAAATTTGAACAGTCGCACTGTTCTGCTATTCCCACCTGTCATTTTACAGTAAAAGTAGTAACGTTAGCTTAAACGAGGACATAACTAAAAAAACACCGGCACGCTCGGCAGACGACGCATCGTCGATGATGGAAAATGGCTGCCAATTTCAATTGTTGCGTCACAACAAGGAATTTGATCGTGACGTAATAATGAGTGATTGCACGGAAGAGTGAATAAGGGCGCTCACGTATCTTGGACATGTATGTATGTATGTATGTATGTTTATTCGTCTCGTAAAAGCAATATAAAAGAGTAAGTAATTATAAATACTGAAGACGGGATGTATGCACAAGACCATATTGGCCTAAAACACAGATGTGCGGCATACACCCCTTTTGATATATCTAAATTATAATAGGGTAAATCAAATATGTACAATATGGTCCTTTATACAGGCAGTTGTGCAAGGAGGGATGGTGGATCCGGTAACAGGGATAAGGGTGGAGTGTACAAAACTGTTTGTACATGAAAGAAGAATGGACATGAAAGAAGAATGTACGATAAATCATAATGGTTAATCAAAACGTGATGAATCCTAGTTTGCAAGGTATTTTTTCCCTGAAATAACAAGTCGCACGAAACCGGAGCAAGACTCGCGTGTTGGCTGATCCATATTTTGTATGGCATGACTTCTTTTGGGGTGGATAGGATAGGATAGGATTGCATATTTATCCCGGGGGAGAGGAAAGCCGATAAGACGGCTTATCCATATGGTGAACCACGGCCTCTCGTCCGGTTACCATTCCAAGTCGGGTATGGGATTAGTTATATTGTTTGTTTTCGGAAGCATGGACTTGGTGGTGGAGGAAGCCGTAACCGACCAGCGGTTACGTGAACCACCCAACGACGGCGAGGAGTCCAGCAATCCTCTTGCACATAACCATCCCTGCATGTGATTCGAACCTGCGAACCCACGCAGAGTAATTAGAGGTGCGGTGGCGAGCGTATTCCTAACGCTTAGCCCGTTGAGTCACACCGCGTGCCTAGATCAAAGGTATCACCTCGTCCACTGAATGATCAGCCCCTTCATTTAATGATTCCAGGTTTGGCTCTGGAATTCAATTAGATACCGGTACCGGGTATTGGTTGGAGAAAAAAAAAACGCGGCCATGTCGAATTCAAACTTTTAAAATTCCTTGCAGAGTAGCTAACTGGTAAAAAATGTTCAGATTTGTATTATTACAGTATTACTGGTTTTGTCAGCGGTAGCGTATCAGTACTGGTCCAGTTGGTGAAATGCACCAAGCCAGCCAAGCACTCCTGCACATTTGAGCATGACAAGCTTCAGAGCTTGTATGATTGTTTGTTAGGATATGATTTACATATCTATCTTGGACGGAGGGATAGGAAAGAGGATAAGACGGCTTAACTACCGGTATATGGCGAACCACGGCCTCTCGTCCGGTTCCGGTCGATTTGGGGTGCGGTATGGGATTAGTTATCCAGTTACGGTACTCGTTTTCGGAAAGATGAACTTGATGGTGAAGGAACCCTGGTTTCACAATATTGAAAATGATGACTATAAGATATGAATTTCATATGTGTCCGGTTCATTCCAGATGCATGGACTCTATGCTGTGATGATGGAGGGGACCGTGACTAACCTGCGCACTGCATCTACGAGAAATGCATCACATTTCCGAAGAGTCCTCTTACAAAATGCATATAGCCAATAATACAATTATGTTAATCATATTATCCAGTCGATAACTATTCCTCTCCCCTGGAATAGATATAAAATTTCTCTGATTAAATTGTTCCAATACACGTTACACTAGGCTAGTGGTTTCCAACCTTCTTATAAAGCGACCCAAATTATAAAAAAAATGAATATTGTAGAAATCGAGACCCAAGAATCTGCTCAATTTCTAAATGGTATGTCAAATGGCCACAAAGTTGAATTACTTAGATAAAACAATCGTGGCATAGCTGCATGGACGCCACTGTCACGTCAGCGAAATCCTACATGAAATATACGATGTCATAAAAGTGTGTTCCCACTTTACGAAGTATTTCTATTCAATAGCCACGGAAACCCTAACCCTAACGAAATTTTAGCCCTTATTTGCTTAGTGCAATTAAATTATTTTTTATTCATAAATTTTATAATGGAACACTTTTTATGACATCGTATTTTTGAGCAGCAGGATTTCGCCAGCGTGACAGAGGTGCATGGACTACATAAGCAAAACAGATGCTGCCAAGTTATTGAGCTGTGATACCATTAAGCAACACTTCAATACCAAATTAAGAAAGAAATTATAACATTAACTTTTGAGTTTTTGTTGAAAAACAATGGACCCGAGAAAATTTACAGGCAATCCAGTTATGGGTCGCGACTAGATCATTGATTTCACTCATGACTATTCCTAAAGGGGATTAGTTATTTATTTTATTTTCATAATTTAGACTTATTTAAAACTTAACCATGCCTTTAGTTATAATATGTGGATTCCCTAGCAGTGGGAAATCAACCAGAGCTCAGGAATTAGTTTCTCATCTACAAGAAAACTTTCCTGATAGGGAAGTTATCAGTATTGGAGATAAGGAGTTATCTATTGATAAGAATATTGTTTACTCTGATTCAAAAAATGAGAAATCTGTTAGAGGGTCGCTGAAGTCTGAAGTAGATCGGAATTTAACGAAAGAAAATGTTGTCATATTGGATTCATTGAACTATATAAAAGGTAGGAATGACTTATAGTCGATGTTTTACTTTGATATTTTTGGCTGTATTTGAACTCTTCAACCAAAGTTTAAGAGCCGAGACATTCGCTTACCAGTCAATGTTGATTATGGAAAAAGTTAACCAATTATTTTATTCAAATGCATAGACTTAGGGTATGTACCAGATTTTAATTGATCAAGCGGAATTATATCTACTTAAACCCTAACCCCAAATCCATCAAGACTGTATCCATAAGAAAAACGTTCCAACTTGCTCAATATTTGTCACCATAAGGGACAGCCCTGTCTTTACGGCCCACCTGTCGGGGTTACGACCTGCCATTGGTTTTCAATTTGCTGCCGCGGTAACGGCAGCTCGACATTGGTTTGTGACAGCTAAATAATCAGTTTCCATAGGTTTGGCCGTAGCGGCCATGGTATGGAAATACCGCCATGGTTTTGCGGCAGCTGCAGATGACACAGAATACTTAAAACTGCACTTGATGATCCTGGTGGTAGAAAAAGCTGCAACTGACCGACAGTCACATGTAACACACTTCGTAAGAAGTCCAGCAATTTTTTCCCACATATACATGATCCATGGGATTCAACCACCAGGATCTGTTTGACTACTTGTTCAAAACAATTTCAGCAGTGTTTTGTATTCTCCAAGTCACAGAAATTCTGAGTCTGAGCCTCAGTAATTTTGAATTTTATAGTCTTAAGTTGAGTTCTATTTCCTCTATCTGGCAGTTACTTGAGTTCGAACTTGTTCATTTGGTTTAGATGATTCGAGTAACAGAGTCCTTGAAAAAGTTGCCTCAAGTCTGACATAGTAAAGTTGGTGTCAAATTGAGCAACATTCACTTTCTCGGTTGGTCTAGTCTGAGTTTGAGTCATACAGTTCGAATGCCATTCGAGTCGCTTTGAATTTTTGAAAAAGTTCAATCGAGTTCCACTTGACGAAGTTAGTGTTAAGTCATGTCACAGTTAAAAACATTTTGAATTGTTAAAAAAAATTGACAAGTTTTCTTAACACTGAATTTTTGTAACAAAAGGTTATTTTCTTGATTTATCTGACTGATCTCTCATATACAGCAGGAGCCTCGGTGACCTAACTGGTCTTGCATAGTGACCCCACAAATAATGATAACTAATTATTACTGATTTATTTTCTTTTTCTGCACTTCATATTTTTCGTAATGTTGACATTGTTTGTAAAATAAAATCTCTCTCTCTCTCTCAAACAGGCTTCAGATACGAACTGTTTTGCATCACAAAGTACGCTCGAACACCACAGTGTGTTATTCACACAGATATTTCACCTGAGGGAGCCAAAGAGTGGAACAAGAATAGAGCAGAAGAAGAACGTTACAGCGACGATATTATTGATGCTTTAATAATGAGATTCGAACCCCCAGACTCGAGAAATCGATGGGATTCGCCACTTTTCACAATCCAAGTCGGAGACACTTTGCCAGGGAAAGAAATCTGCGATGCTTTGTTTCATCAGAAAACACCGAAACCAAATATGTCGACACAAAATCCACCGTTACGGGAAACTGACTTTTTGTACGAAGTTAGTAAACAGACACAAGATATGATTTCGACTATTCTTACATCACAAAAAACAATGATAATTGGTGATTATGTCACAATGCCAGGGACAACAGAGAAATATATCATAACACAAAATCTGACTTTGTCGCAGTTGAGACGTTTTCGACAGCAGTTTTTAACATACGTTAAGTCCGGGACTACAGCAAAGATTGAAGATATACCAAAAACATTTTTATTGTTTTTAAATAAATGTGTAGAGACTTGTTAAGTTTTGACAGTTTTTTAAGCTGTGCACAGAAAATTTGAAAGCAGTTCTATTTAGATTTAAGAGATTTTAAACAAGAAACTTTACCATCTTTATATGAACATTATGGATATTTTAAAAATTTAGTTTAACAAAATGAGATCTAGAAAGACTGTTTTTACTCGAGGCAAGGCATTTTTAATGTGCTTTCGCTGCAATTGGAATGTGGGATATATGTATTCAATAAGTTTTTCTGTTTTTATAAACAAATGAAGATCTTTTGATCATACTTCAAGACTTTGACTGCCCAGAAGATAATTTGTTGAATAAATTAATTTTAAATTTTTTTTAAAGTGTAAATTTTTCAAATTTAATATTTGGTTGATATCCGGCATGTCCCAGGGTTACCTGTAATAACTTTAAATCTAATTTCTCTATCATTGTATTCGACTTCACTTCTTTGAAAATCTTCGATTTTACGCAACTCTTTTCAGACAATAGTTAGTAGAATCTAAACTTAAGTCACAAGATGGCAGCAGTGGTTGATAACCCGGCTTCTGAACTGGATAAATTTTCCAAACCTGAGGAGGGGGAGGAAAAAGAACAGCCGGAACAGCAAATTGAGGGGGAACAAACTAAAAAGAAGAAAAAAAAGAAAAAGAAGAAGAAAAATACGGGTGAGAGTTCAAATATTTTTGTGCAAAATTGTATAATGACATATCGTCGTCGTTGGGTGGTTCACGTAACCGATGGTCGGTTACGGCTTCCTCCACCCCACCAAGTCCATGCTTCCGAAAAACAAACAATATAACTAATCCCATACCCGACTTGGAATGGTAACTGGACGAGAGGCCGTGGTTCGCCGTCTTATCGGTTTTCCTCTCCCCTGGGATGAATATGTACCGTATATTTTCGCACATACGCCGAGTTTAAAACACAAAAAAAAAGTTGCCAAACTAAGGGGGCGGCTTATACTCGCATACCTCAGATTGCATAAAAAATTCGACTCATTCGCGCATGACTTTGATCACGCAACGAGATTGACATTTAGCTAACTTGCCGGTAATTCCAAACGCTTCAAACCGCACTAAATTCTCACGATAAAGAACGCACACACACAATCGCTTGTGCCGGTGTGATTGTCTCATCATACAGCTGATGGCTCGTAAAGTCTGTGATTGGTTGTTAAACACGTGAGGCTTGTACAGTCTGATTGGCGTCGATTTACGGCCAGCGTTTCGTGGTGAAACGTTATCATTTAGTGCACTATCGCGGTACAACGCAAGTAACGGCGCCCTCATTTTGATCACCTTTACGATATGTTATCCTTTTCAGTTGCGCTGATAAAGACTCTTATCTCCGTTATAATTGAAATATTTACCATTACATATGCATGACATCGCTTACGCTGTTGAGGTGATGACACAATATTTAAAATTGAATGATAATTAAAATTATTCAAATCGCATTACGGAGCAACATCGGAATAATGGAGCTTGTAAATATGTCACAAAACGACATACATTCTACGACGTTTGAAAATCCTTTTAATAGCAACTTCCGAATCAGCGATTTATAAGAATGTGTTAATACAACATTCGATTTAAAAGAAATTGTTTTATGCTGATCCCTTCTGTTTTATCCCTTCAATAATACAAATCACCGCGCATTGAAAAGCAATATAGACGTTATTAACATAAATTTACAAGTAAGAATCAGGTAGAATAATACTCACAGTCACATCATTAATTCTTAACAATAAAACCGTAATTTCAATTATTTTGAACAACCATTTAACTACGTTAATATAAAATAAGGATTGTAAAATATTTTCAATCAAAAATGTTCTCATGTCATACATTCGGTACTTCAAGTCGGCGCTGATTTAATTCCTTTTATGTTGACAATAATCCGCAAAGTGCTGTCTTCCATTACGATTTGTAGAAACGGCGTATATGCGAATTTTTATAAATTCACTATTTTGAAGCTGGTATTAGGGAGTCGGCTTATTCGCGAGATAGGCGTAATTTCGAGAAAATACGGTAAATCCCATTCTTCTTATCAGATTTTTTCAACCCGGGATCCTTGCTTATTTAACACTTCCATAAACAGCACATTATGCAAAGTTCATATTCTAGTCTAGGCCATAGGTGTGCCACCTTAAAACAGGAGGGCTAAATACAAATAACTGGTTGAAACCGTGGTCTGCACCTTTATTTAACATAGGCCTTCTAGTGGTTGCAGAAACAAAACTTTTGATTATTGATCTTACGACATGTGTTGTTCGCGTTGAACAACCTCAATTGAACTCAAGTATAGGCTTTGAACTCAAAGGAAATGGAATCACTCGTATATATCAGATGAAACTCAATTAAAAACTCGTTTCGCTTGTCGCACACCATTTAAAATTGGCATTTCTCTGCGGCCTGCACATTTTTTTCTTGCTAGCTGCATTTGGCCTGCGGCACACCACTGCTCCAGGTAATTACATCTCTGGTAATTGATTATAAATAAATTAGCGTTAATCTGGCAACTACTTTTGTTTTTAGAGAGCCCTGTGAATGGTGAAGCTGGTGAAGAATTATCTTGCCCTGTATCTGATATTGTTGGACAAATGAATGAGAATACCATTGCAGATGGTGGAGCTGGAGGTAAAAGGGTTAATTGAACTTTCAATTTATGGTATAGATAGTTTCAGTAGAAGTTGGCCACTCGGTGTTTCATTAGGCTAGAGCAGTGCATTTCAATCAGGGTCTCGCAGAAACTCTAGCGTCTGCAATACCCTTATTGGGGTTCCATGAACTTTAGAGTTCGGTAGGGTTCGGGTTAAATTTTTTTCAATGGCTTACGCGAATTTCCCCATTTGATTTTCTCATGTGTTATTCGTGGGTATTCTTCAATAGGTAGTATATTGGAGTCCCGCAATGATAAAAAGGTTGAAAACAATGAGATATGGGTCCCCAAACTTTTCAAACGGTTACGCATTGAAAAGAAAATTTGAATTTATTTCCGTAACATTAAATTGCAACAAGAGAAATTTTATTAATGTATGTACATTTAATCAAAGCAATATATGAGCTTGTTTTTGTGCACAACCAAAGTTCAGATTGAAGCTGAATGTTGGATATCACACCGCATATTTCTCTCTCAATGTTTAATTTTGATCAACTTTTGGTCTTTTATGTTGAGTTCTAAGCACGAACAGATAGGAGTAATTTTTTGGGAGATGTATCAATATTTTACGACACACTTAAAATTATATTGTGACGCCCAGTTTGGGCCTGTATTGCAAAGTTCTGTATTCAACTTCTTATACATATTCGTAGAGTCTTAGTTTCATGAAATTTACTCTTTTTATCTGATCAAGATGACGCAGTGGGAGAGGAAGGCCCAGAAGAAGGAGGGGGAGGGAAAAAGAAACGTAAACGCAAGAAGAAAAAGGGTCCGAAACAACAAACTGATCCCCCAACCATACCAATCTTCGATTTGTACAATCCAAAGATATTTCCGAAAGGAGAAGAAGTGGAATATCCACCAGATAAAAACGGGTAACTATAGTTCATTTATTAAATTAGTAGTGATTTCACACTTTCTATGTGAACAAGACTTTGTTCAAGCATTCGCTGTAAGGAGATACTATATGCAAGCACAAGCTCTTAACTGTAGAACAAGAATATTTTATACAATGTTTTTAATAGCCTCCTACTCCAGGTGTTTGAGCCCTTTGGCAAGGCTCTGTGAAAAAGAGATTCCAGTAGATAACAGTTAAGAGTCAAAAGGCTTAAAATATTAAAAAGATCAGCTTTTTAAACGACGCAATTAAAATTTGTGCTACCTCTGGCTTCAGCTGCCAATTATTAAAAGTTTGATCCTAGCTATGTCTCCAGCTCTAATAAAACGTCATGGTTGAGTTCTGGCTCCCTAACCTGGTTAGAAGGGGCTCAATTTTAAAAAAATGGTAAAAAATCAAAGTAAGGGAAATCGGAAATAATTTATGGCCTAATCTTAACCTGGTACACACACTACGAGAGTTTCAAAATTTGTGCTAGCTCTGGATTCAGCTTTAATTATTATTAAAAGCTTGTCTCAGCTATGCCAAGCTCCAATCCCAATAAAATATCATGTCTCCATTGCTTCCCTGGTTAGAAGGGGCTTGATATAAAAAAAGATTATTTTATAGCAAAACATCTGAATGGCGACCTTGTCCCAATTTCGTTTCCAGCTTCAAAAAGCGTCATGATCCCTTTTTTTTCAGGAAAACTTCAGAATGGCGAACTACATCAGAAGAGAAAAAGGCTTTAGATATTTCATATGACGAGATGTGGAACGACTTCAGACAAGCGGCAGAAGCTCACAGACAGGTTAGGAAGTACGTTCAGGGATATATACAGCCAGGAATGACTATGATAGATATCTGGTAAGTAAAATTTATTTACTTTTCGTCATCCTTGGTTATGGTGTGGCACTATGTTATTTGCAGGTTTATGTTGTGACCAAATTATTTCTGTACTAAAATAAAATCATTTTAAATAGTCAACCATGATCCATGCTTGATATGAGTGTTCGCAATCGCGTTGAACGCATGGTATTGCTTTTGTATATTTTTTATTTTACTACAAACTGTAATTTATTGTGTAAATATGACCAAAAAGATTCCAAGAATTTGTGTTTTCTTGACAAGAAAAGTATTTTGAACGAGCGAACGATTAATCTTCGTCACATTATAAACAAAGAAAGATGCCACAAAGTCGAAACTATCTCAGGACCATAAAAAAAGAAGGAAGTTTACTCAAAGCAAGGGCCCTCAGAAATATAGCAGAATGATCTCTGGGCTAAGTCACAACTGAAGTTGAATGAAAGAGTGCTTCTCAAACTCTCATGACCCTTGACCCCTTCCAATGTTTCAAACACTTGGCACCTGCTATCCTATAAAAATACCTAATTTAGTTTTTACAGTTATTACAAACGAGTGTGTAGCAAGCGTGTTACTGTGTGGCAATCAGTGGTGGGATGGCAAGCGAATTCCTGATATTTTACTTTATGTGCTTTTAAAATAAAGTCTTTTTCTTTTAGCGAGAAATTAGAAGACGCATCGAGAAAACTGATCAATGAAAATAAATTGGAAGCCGGACTTGCTTTTCCGACAGGTTGGATTGTTTGTTGTTGTTGCTTTTGAAAACCAAAGATTTCCATATTTATCCAAGAGGAGAAGAAAGCTGATGGGATTGCTTAATGACCTAATCTTGTAGTCTTTTCTCGAAGCGTTTGCCTAAGCATGCAGAAGTTCTACTGATACGAAATATAGGATTATTGTATATCCATGAGGGGGAAGGCCTAAAATCCAGCTTGACAATAAAACGAATTGGGACCATTTTTTGCCTGGTGACCAGCCTAGGAGCTAGATCGACAGTTCGAATAAGAGCTAAGATCTAAAGCCCGACCCGACCCGAAATTCTGGCAGGGTTGGGCCTGTAATGTCAATCATTACGTTCGGGTCGGGCTTCTTTATTGCTGACTTTTTTTTTAAATAAATATATGTTTATAAAAAATATGTGGAATTCAAAGAACTTCTAAATAAAATAGGAAATTTTGGGTTTTGCTCCGAGCTCGGGCCTGCAAATCCAGTTAATTAGTCGGACTCGGGCCGGGTTTAATACCCACGGACCCGGGTTAGTCTGGAATTTTTGGGCTCGATCTTTCCTCTAGTTCGAATACACTGTGACTCTTGTGCTGCTGAACCATCCTGCTTGTTGTTAGGCCGTAGCCTGGACCTTTCATTTGATGAAACGAACTCAAATCTTTTTTGTTTTCAGGTTGTTCACTGAATCACTGCGCCGCTCACTACACCCCTAACGCTGGAGACAAAACTGTTCTGAAATATGATGATGTTTGTAAAATTGACTTTGGAACTCATATCAATGGTATGGTTATCTGAATAGTGATTTTTTTAGAATAAGGATTTAGACAGGCATAGTTACGCCATTTTTTGGAAATTATTTATGAGGTTTTTAAAAAGTGTGAAATATTGACAATATTGATATAAGCAAGATGACCCTATTGGCAGGTAGAGGTCAGGTCTGGATAAAATTTTTCACGTGAAATAATATAATAAGCCACAAAAGAGCAGGCTCATAATATTCTGAGGAAAATGGGAATCCGATTGCACTAATGTTTTTATTTTAAATTAACAACAATTTAGTGAATGGTGCATATGTACTCTCACAAGGTGTCATTGCTCAATAATCAGTTAAGTTTTCCATTTTTACCGCAAATGCCTCAACTTTCTTATAATTTTGTGTGTGATTGTTTTTTATTGGCTAGAAAAACAAAACTTGCCTTGTTATGTTACAGGACGGATTATCGACTGTGCCTTTACTGTGACCTTTAACCCCAAATATGATAGGTTACTGGAAGCAGTGAAAGCAGCAACAAACACAGGAATAAAGAACGCAGGTTGGTGGTTGTTTGATTTTTTATCCAAGATAGACTGAGGTGTTGGAGAAGTTTACGAACTTTCGACCTGGGTGTTTATAATCGTATTCTTGGATATTCCAGATTTCTATCTATGTCTTTAATTGGTATGATTCAGAATACTTCATTCCACATTAAAACAGAAGTTCCTGAACTAAACTTTTACAAAAAACTGATTCATTCTATAGCCTAATATAAATCACAATGCGCTGAAAAGGAAATTTGGCTTCCTTTCGTTAATTTTTCGTAAATTCTTTTTGGATTTTGGACAGAATTTTTGACTGTCAGATTTTGATCATCACCATAAAAACCTGAATTTTGATCTGATAGTATTCAAAAGAAAAACTAGTGGGAAACATGAACAACACCAATACCAATGTAAAAACATTCCAATCTCACAATTATGAATCCGACTTCATGGCTCAGAAAATAGAGATTGCTTTTCCCCAAAAAACTCAAAAATTCAAGCTTATTATCCCAAATTTTTCAGGCATCGACGCGAGGCTTTGTGAGATTGGTGAACTTATACAGGAGACCATGGAGTCATATGAGGTTGAGTTGGATGGAAAGACTTACCAAGGTGAGAGGAGAGTATTCATATGTGAAAACTCAGATTAGCGTGCATACGATTTACCCAAAACCGCTCATTTTGCTACGACAAATCATTTTATGGTTTTAAATGAGTTTGGACCCTGATAGAATTATACTTCTCCATAGGCTTTCAAGAGCAATAGAGTTATTACCGTTATGATGATTCCGAAATTATGCGGCTTTTCATATGTGGAAACATGGATGTGCATGCATAGGATTTACTGAAAAATATTCATAATGCTACGGCAAATCTTTTTATAGTTCCAAAAATGTTTCTATTTCATCGTGATAGAATCATATTTTTTGATGAACTTTCAAGCGCATTTAATATCATTGTGATATTTCCGAAATTTTGCGACTACCTAAGTTTATGCACCTTCGAAAGGAAGCCGATTTTGCAAAACAAGTTGCGAGAAATGAAAAAATAAATTGTATTGTTATGCCATAAACAATATTGTTCTCAAGCTTTATGATCTGTGGCTCCTTCTTGAGATTGACATCACTTCATACCTCTGCTCTTGTTCAAAAAATGCTAGTTTTTGACAAATTTTCATCAGGTATTTTAATGCCCATGTTTAATAATAAAACCCAATTAACAAACCTAAAAGGAGAAATGAAAATTAAACAAATCAATTTACTTTAAAATAATAATGGTCATTGTGATTGTTATCTAATCAAGGTCATTACTTGTGACACCCAGAGAACTGCTGGGCTCTTTAGGGGGACAGGCATCCATTTTGAGAAACTCAAACACTCAAGATAAAAAAAAGAATGCATGACAGTCAAAGAATTAAACGAATTACAGACAATTTACTTTGAATTAATGTGGCCATCGTGACCTTATCAAGGTCGTTTCTTATGGCACACGGAGAACTGCCCTGAGGGAGCCGTGTACCCAGTTTAAGAAACTCCGCTCTAACATAACACAATTTTCTTCAGTAAAATCGATTCGTAACCTTAGCGGCCACTCGATAGGTCCGTATCAGATTCACGCAGGTAAAACAGTTCCGATTGTCCGAGGAGGAGACCAGACAAGAATGGAGGTATTTTGATAGATAGGTAGAAGTTTGGGCGGATATCATCCTAGACAGAATATGTTTATAGCATTTTACATGCAATGATTCTGGCAAGACACGCATGGTTGGCTATGTACAATTTGATATAACATTGACTGCTTTTACTGTAGAGATAGGATTTTCATCTTTATCCCAGGGGAGAGGAAAGCTGATAAGACGGTTCAATCATATGGCGAACCACAGCCTTTCGTGCAGTTACCAGTCCATGTCGGGTATGGGATTAGTTAGCCGGTTATTTTGTTTTCGATCCATGGACTTGATGGTGGAGGAAGCCGTAACCGACCAGCGGTTACATGAACTACCTTGTGGCGGCGAGGAGTCTAGCAATCTTCTCGCACATGATTATCATCAATATAAACTTGCGAACCCACATTGGATTATCAGCTGTGTGATGGCAAACGTTTTTTAGTGCCCAACAGAATATGCCAACTTATTGCTTCCACCACTGTCAAGTCCTTGCTTCTGAAACTAATAACTAAATAATTGTCCCTATACATGACATGGACTGGTAATCTGATGAGAGACCTTGGTTTATACTATAATAAAACTGTCATACCAGGTTTCCTTTCCCCTGGGATAAATATAAAAATCCTATCCTGATTGTACAGGCAAGAAATCTCCCAGTTTTCCATTGATCAAAAATTTTCGTTTTATCTATCTATTTATCCTATTTACCAAGCAATTTTTGTCGCCAATCTAATTAAAAAAAAATACTATCTCTGGATGATATCCTTTCAAGCGTGACTCTTTGCAGAGCTTCCAATTTCAATTTTTATTGCTAGTTATTAATTTTTTTCATTTTCAATTTAAACCAGTTAAACCAATCCGTAATTTGAATGGACATTCAATTGGTCAATATCGGATCCACGCGGGAAAAACTGTTCCCATTGTCAAAAGAGAAACTTCTGCCAGAATGGAGGTGCGAAAATGAGATTATTTGTCACCTTAGGCTGGGTTTTTAACATTTTTTAAATTGTCAAAGTGAACACTAATGTCTCAAGCACTTTGGAAAATATTCTGCTGGGCAATTAACGTTATCTGAATTTATGTTAAATTGTGAAAGTGAACACTTCGGGAAGTTTTCTGTCAGGGCAATTTTTTTTCGTAATAGTGATTTATTAAGTTTTAGCACTCCCCATTTCCAGGGTCGCTAACATAATGAAGTACTGAAATTTATTCAATTTTAAACATTCGATATGCGCAATTTGGTTTTTGTTGTGATATTAGGGCAGGGGTTGGCAACCTTTTGTCGCTCGCGGGCCAAAATTAAGGTTGCAAGTCATTGGCGGGCCGCACATATTTTTAGAAAGTTGAAAAACCGAACGGATGGTACTTTTTATAATAAAAATCAAGCAGTGATACATCTCTCGAATAGAATATAGATTTATTTCCTCATTGCATCTCATAAAATTTATTTTAAATATTTTCAGCGCCATTGAAGCCTTTGCACTTAGCATCAACACTTTGCGTTTTGTTTCCATTTGCTTAATTATAATGAAATTATATGCTCATTGAATGAGTAATTGTGAAATATATAATTGTTAGGTTATAATATAATTTAGTCTAAAGATTATATTCGTCCAAACGGATGTTTTGTTACTATAATTTAGTAAAGCGTTGCGGGCCGGATTATAGTGCTTATAGTGCCGCGGGCCATAGGTCGCCGACCCCTGTATTAAGGGGAAGTGTTCGCTTCCTAAAACCCTCAACATATAGGTTATAAGTGGAATAACAATGTTGAATACCCTGCCTACTCTGTCACATTACTTTATTTTCGCACCTTCACTTTGCTATTGTTGTGTTTGCATGAGTATTTCTCTCTCTCTCTATGTCATATCTTAGTGGAATTGTTGTTTTTGTGAATCTTCGGATACATTTAAAATTAACTATTGTATTTAACAAATCATTGAGAATTGTTACTTATCGATTTTAATCGGTAAGTATGTTGATAGGTATTTGTCTGTATGTATGTCTGTTTGTCTGTTAGATGCACGCGATATCTCACGTAAGCGAGATTGAATCTGCTCCAGATTTTGCATGTGCATTCGTCTTATCTCGGACCAGAAGCCCATTGATTTTGGGCGAATTATGTCGTATAATTAGCGAGTTATTAATTAATTAGTGATGGGACACAAGGTGTTACTATGGAGTAAGAGCGCTGTTTTGGGGGATAACTTTCGATCGATAAGTCTTCGGTTTCTGACCGATATTCTCGTTTTATTAGTTTATGCCTAAATGATTGTAATATTAGAGCAACCCACAACTGCCTGTCTGGTATCCAGTCCAAGTCAGGTATCATTGACCAGTTTTCATTCATATGCATTGACTTGATGATGGAGGGAGTTGTAAACCAGTTACCTTATGATGTTGAGGAGTGCAGAAATCCTCCTGCTAATGCTCCCAGATGCACAGACTTTGATGGTAGAAACCTCAACTTACCAGTAGCCATATGTGCCACACTGTGGAATGGGATTGAAGCTAAGAATAATACTGCTACCCACTGCTCTAATAGTTATCTCGCTTGTCGGTGTCGGGAGCCGTTTGCCTTAGGTCAGGGGTGTGCAACCTTTTTCGCAGGCGGGCCAAATATCAATAACCGCCTGAAACCGCGGACCGCACCTACATTTGACTCAGGCTTTCTATTAGTTGCAGGCACAAAATGGTGTCTTTTTGTAATTATGGAAGTGCTAGCAAATAGATATGACGCCCACTTTAGAAAAAAATATGTTACCATGAAGTCATGACTTTTTTTCAAATGTGGATAGTTATCTTGGTTGAGATGTTTTCAGTAAAATACGCCAAGATTCATTTCCAAATAATTTGCTGTCAAATCCTATTCTACGTTAGATTTAGACAAAATCAATTGATAGGCTGGAATCGAAACTTATTTAGCTTTTGTATCTTTTTATATTAAATTTTTTTTAAACTGTTCTTCAGTTGCCTTGGCGGGCCGCACAAATTTCCCTTGTGGTCCGCATTTGGCCCGCGGGCCGCACTTTGCACACCCCTGCCTTAGGTCATCCTCCACTAATTTTAAAACCACATATGTATGCCATGCCATGGCTGCCTAGTACCCACCCACGATTATGGAAGCCTGTCTATGAGCAACCAGAAAACTGATTTTCGATTTCGATACCTGACCTGTACTGGTAACAGGACAAGAGCGGTCATTGGTTAGCTGTATAATTCAGCCTTCAGCAAATGACCTAATTAACTATTCTTACACATAATATGGATTGGAAACTGGACAAGATTCCTATTTTCCGTTACGAAATTAAGTATCTTATAAGCTTATTTCTCCACAGAAAAACAAAATCAAAACTGACCTGTACTGGTAACAGGACCAGGGCGGTCATTGGTTAGCCATATAATTCAGCCTTCAGCAACTGAACAAATGACCTGATTAACTATTCTCACACATGATATGGATAAAAAACTGGACAAGATTCCTATTTTTTATTACAAAATTAGGTATCTTATGATCTTTCTTCTAAACAAAAAACACTAAAATACTAATATTCATCAATATTTTCTACCACAGGAGGGCGAAGTATTTGCCATCGAAACTTTTGGAAGTACCGGCCGTGGCGTTGTACATGATGATATGGAATGCTCTCACTACATGAAGAACTTTGATTTGGCTCAGACACATGTTCCACTCAGGTAAGAGTTTTTTTTGCTGTTACTTTTCGTTGTTGTGGTTGCAAAAAAAGATTATTCCCCCCAAAATAAGACCCATCCCGAATATGAAAATGATTTTAATATAAGCCCTCTCCTTTTTCAAATTAAAATGTGTTATTTATAGGTAAATGAATATCGGTTTTTATATTTTGTATATTTGAAAATCTCGTAATTGTCTACTTTCAAATTTTGTTTTTAATAACTGAAAATAAAGGACTTCCCCCAAAATGGGCTCTAGTGTTATTTTTCGAAAGAAAATTGAAATAAGACGTGTCTTATTTTTGGAGAAACACTAGCTTTTATAAGTAACTAACAATTTAATTATTTAATTCAATCAACAATTAATTTGGATTCAATTATTTCTAATTCTCCGGTTGTAGTTGGATTCAATTATTGTAATTCTCCGGTTGTAGTTGGAGTCAATTATTTCTAATTCTCCGGTTGTAGTTGGAGTCAATTATTTCTAATTCTCCGGTTGTAGTTGGAGTCAATTATTTCTAATTCTCCGGTTGTATTTGGCATCAATTATTTCTAGTTCTGCTGTTGTAGTTGGAGTCAATTATTTCTAGTTCTGCTGTTGGAGTTGGATTCAATTATTTCCAGTTCTTCTGTTGTAGTTGGAGTCAATTATTTCTAGTTCTGCTGTTGTAGTTGGAGTCAATTATTTCTAATCCTCCGGTTGTAGTTGGAGTCAATTATTTCTAATTCATCGGTTGTAGTTGGAGTCAATTATATCTAGTTCTGCTGTTGTAGTTGGAGTCAATTATTTCTAGTTCTGCTGTTGTAGTTGGAGTCTATCATTCTTGAACTCTCGAATTTATTAGGAAGTTTTATGAATTGTTCATAATCTAGCTGGCAAAATACATTTTATATTTATGAGTCTTCGTGTAGTCTCAGATGCAGGTTAACCCGTTAACTTAGATTTGGGCAACAAGCGGCACACGGGCCATAACACGGCCCAACAAGCCATTTAGTTTGGCCCATATCAACACTTAGATTTTTCTCCATCATGCATAAAATCCTAATCTGACAGTTAATGTTAACGGCAATGATGTTAACAAACTATTCAAAAACTTGAAATTTCAATTGTCCCAATAAAATGTTAAATAACTGAAATTTTGCAGTGTAGGAATCTTTTTTATTTGTTGTTTACATGGAAAAATGATGCCTGAAGTTGGTTATATTGGTCACTGACAAAAAATGTTGCCCCTGCTTTAACTTCACTAACAAACGTAATTCTCAGCCCTTTTTGTTTTATCTACAGATTACCAAGAGCAAAGAAGCTGTTGCATATAATCGGTGAAAACTTCGGTACGTTGGCGTTTTGTCGTCGTTGGATCGACCGTCTCGGAGAAACGAAGTATTTGATGGCATTGAAAAATTTGTGCGATTCTGGAGTCGTTGATCCGTATCCTCCCCTTTGTGACATCAAAGGTTGCTACACAGCGCAGTTTGAGCACACGATTCTTCTCCGTCCGAATTGCAAAGAAGTTGTCAGCCGAGGGGACGATTATTAGCGTTTCATTTTTTTTCACGGACTAATTTGTTCATGAGAGTCTATGGATCTGTAATAGAGATGTACTGCCAAATTTGGATTATTTTTGTGGCGTTTTTTCTACCCCAATCAGCTGAAAAGTAGACTTTACCATTAAAATTTCGGCGATCTATTATAGAGGTAACTCATTTTGTTCGCCTATGTTACATCAAGTTGTGTAAAGGGACTGAAACCTATGGGCAAGGGGATATATTCACTTGGCTAACACAGACAGTCCCGAATTCGTAATAGAGAACTGAAACAAGGAAAATCAGAATAAAATTAATGCAATATAGCATAGGAGCACCCAGTATTTACAGAGAAATCAATTGTTTAGGACTTTTTCATTTTGACATGACATATTTAAATACCTTCTTATGCTGTTTTCACATATTGGCTTCAGTGACACTTGTCCATATCTTTTGTTCAGAGTGAGGTTGGCTAAAATTATGAAATCAGTACATCTCTGAAATATCTCTGTTCCATGGATGATCATGAACAAATCATTCATTTTTGGATCGTTTGGTAATTGTGAATATTTTTAGCGATAAGTTCATCCATGTGTGACTTAGCAGCACCTTTTCTGCATGATTGAACATGCAGCTTCATTTGATTCTGTAAATTTTTGAAATGTACAGCACGTAGTTTTGATTTTATTTGAATTATTGCGGAATTCACACACACCTTTTTTCATTTTTAAACCGAAAAAAGTTTTCAAAAAAAAATCTCCAGTTATAAAAAATGTATACTGCCAGTAGAGTTATGTTTATGATTTAGAACACAAAAGTCCCGGCATTAAAAATAAATTAATTAATTTCAGAATCGTGGTTATTGTTTACACTTCTTCAAGTTGACATAGTTGACATGAAAATACGTCAAATTGATCATGTTGTTACCGAGTTGCTGCATTTCACGAATAGAATAATGTATTAGTCTAAAATGTTAGAAGATGGTGGTTCCCAAGCGTGGCCAACAATAAAAAAAGTGGGAGGGGGGCATGTCGGACACAAAACTGATTTTTTTATCTCCTTACCAGAAAACTCCCTCTTTTTCCTAGTTTCTTCAGAGAGTGTTTTCACATTGTTGAGCATGAATTGTTTGAACATAATGGGATTTGGAATCTACCAATGAAAATAACATTCTAAATACCACTGGAAAGATAAACAGGGGCCATGTTTATGGGAACCCCTGTTTTGAAACATCATGATGGATATCCTTTGGGTCTGCTTCATATTATGCTATTACGAATATTGTATTTGTGTAACTAGTTGAGTGATGCCAACTGAAACTGTTTCCAAATGTTTTATGTTTGAGAACTACATTGGAACATAGGACCCCAAAAAGTTTCAGATTCTTGGTGAATATTCTACGTCGCATGGTTTTCTTCAAAGGTCACAAATTGTTATTCTGGATTGTACATTTCGTCTGAACTTTTTAATTGTGAAAATAATGATAATTTGCGAGAAAGTATGTGTTGATTCTTATTTGCGTGGGTTGGTAGAAGTCTTTTTTATGGTATTTGAGGAGGGGGTATTTCATATTCACAGTGTCTTGAAATTAAAATGTTGACAGAACATTTTTGAGACACCGTGATATTTATATCGTAGAAGGATAGAACTAGGGCATACGACGCTTCCTTGTTTGGTTATCACTAATGTCGGGTATGAAGTGGCAGAACAGTGATTTTTCTTTCATTACTGATGTGATGTAATATGATTACTCAAGTAATGAGTAGCGCGATAACTCTCAATTGTAAGAGCGTCTCATCTATCCGTCTGGAGGTCTAATGTTGTTTCGTACCTGAAGTACTTCCAGTTGGCGGATCGTAACAATTTTGCATATGTTAACGCGCAGACGATCACCCAAAATCAAGCAAGCTTTTTTTCTCGTTGCAACGATCCCGATAGGAGAGAGATCGCACGTATTCCATATTAAGCGGGCACGTCTCAAGCTACGATGTATTATAAATTTACTACGAGGAAAAACAAAAATGACGCGAAGTCAAAAATAAAATTTAGAATTGAATACACGCCTCGAGCTATGAAATATGGTTACACTGTTGATTACAAAAATCGTAAATAAGTTTCTTTATTTACAACCTGCTTAGTTCGACTTTATTTTATGAATGAAATGTCTAGATTGTTTGTTGAAACTCAATAACGCAGAAGAAAAACTGTAGAATAGATGCAAAATATTTAATACAGCTTTGTCGAGCAAAAAGTGTGGTGACGGACCGTACAAGATTAATTTGTTTTTAAGATGAGCCCAATAATAAGCATAGTGATGATTATGATGGACCTGCGTTAGCATCATATGAAATCATTTACTTAAACAAGCCTATTATACAAAATGTTATTTTCCAAATCACTCAATTAATATATATATATATTTCTATAATTTATGTAGTTTCGTAATTGCGCGACTGTGAGAAGTGTTTAAGTCTGATCAATGCTAGGTAAATGTTAGACTGTTTCAGCGCTTTTGTGCTTAATTTTGTGTATAAATCACTTAAGACAGCAAACTTGCACGTTGAAATACTTTTGTTGTCATTTTGATCTTTCACTGGGGCATTATCTAGGCGACGGCTGGTAAAACAGTGTTTATTTTGTTTTGTTACGTATTGTAATCCCGGAATCGAGCATAAAAGCATGTAATGTAGAATTCGTTGTATCTTGGAATAATAATAGACAAAATTATTTAACTGCCATTCTGACAAATTTCTTCATTGTTGCTCCTTGCCTCAGTGTTTTTCGCTTTACGCTGCGGTGGAGTGATATTTGTATGATACCATTGACATAGCAAACACCTTTTGCACGGAATACCAAAATTATTGATTTATAGTATTAAATTGTTTTTCATAAATAGTTCAATTCCATCACTATTTACTTAGTATTTCGCAGACTTGGAATATGGATTTTGGTTCTCATTCCCGAATAATACTCTTGCTGGTAATTTCATTACTGATGCTGTTGCAAGCTATAGATATGGTTGCATGTCAACAACGAGGACCAACAGGAGCAAGAAGAGGAGGCAAGTAGAGTTGTTGGCGCTCCGAAAGTATGTGTAGCAAGATGACGCACAACCTGAACCATAACCTGGTACACATGCTACGTTCAGGTTGTGCGTCATTTTGGTACACATACTCCAGAAGCACCGAGTTGTTACTGCTGAAGTTTTGCAATTGGAAGATATGTGTAGTCATATTAGTCAGATAATACGGCTTAAACATATGACGAACTACGGCCTCTCGTCCGGTTACCATTCCAAGTCGGGTATGAGTTCAGTTAGTTATTTGTTTCCGGAAGCATGGACTTGATGGTGGAGAGAGCCGTAACCGACCGTCGGTTACATGTACCACCCTACGACAGCGAAGAGTCCAGTAATTATATCGCACATATTTATACCCGCGTGGGATTCGAACATGCGATCCCACGCAAAGAAATCAGAGGTGCGGTGACGAGTGTATTCCTAACGCATAGCACAATGAGCCACACCGCCGCGTCCTAATGAAACTGGAATCATTTAAAATTTACGAGTGGGTTGTTGCCCGAGTTCAAATTTTTGTTGGTCAAACAGAAAATTGAAGTCCAATTGATAATCATGATCATTGGTTGAATTCAATGTCATGTTTTGCCAGCTTCAAATGAAAATTTCCACAACCTCTTGATTCAATTTTGTATTCTCAACAGGCTTCGTGGAACAGCTGGAGAATAAAATCCTTGAAGAATAATGAGGTGATCTTATATTCCAAACTTTCTGTTTCTGGCCCACGGGACCAAATACCTATACACCTATTAAATTATTATTTTTTATTTCAGCTGTTTTGCCTGGAGATCAGAATATGCATGGAAATATATTGTGTATAACATTATTTGAAATGTATCTGAGAGGCAATAAAAAAAAGTTGTATCGAAATAAATGGACTTATGATTTGAATCAATATGGGTAAATTCAACTTTTATATGTATACAGTGCAAACGGCCAATGAAAATAATTGGTACTACCGTAGTATGTGAACCAAAATGGCGGACGCCGGAACGTAGTATGTGTACCAGGCTAGAGATAGGCCATAATTTCAGGTACAAATACTAATGGCGTCACTTGGCTAGTCCCCGAACTCTAGAACTAAAATAAGGAAAATTGGAATAAAATAATGGCCTGACCTGGTACACATACTACGTTCCGGTGTCCGCCATCTTGGTTCGCATACTACAGGAGTACCCATTTTTTTCTCAAGTTTCAATCAACAAGTTGTGTGCTTGTGGGGAGTGTTCAAGTCTGACAACCTGGTAAATTACGTAAAATATTGAGATGTACGTACTCAGTACTGGCAGCGAAACAGTACCGGTACCTGTAGAAGCGTAGCCGGCAACACAGGTTACCGTTTTCGTTTGCTGATAATGTTGAAAGCCAGCGTAAAGGACAGTAGATTCGAAACACTAACATTTCAATTCATTTCAAATTACATATTTGAACATCGGGTGTCGCCTAATAGCTGGAAGTCTTAAAAGGAAAATGAGAGAAATATTTTACCGAGAAAACAAATTAAAAAGAGAGAGAAAAACAAAATTGAAAAAAAAGGAGAGAGATTAAGGTATCCGAAAAATGAAGAAATTTTACACTGTATGCTATGCTTGTTTTTGTTACGACGGTTTAAAGTATACGAACTAGCTTTTTTAAACAGGTAAATAAATTCAGAATTTAGGATTTTTGTTGGAACATGAGACGTATTTTTGAATTCTTCAAAATACTTAAGTTTTGTCAAAAGAAACTTCCAGACTGTATCATGTATTTGTTTGAAGCTCTATGGTGGCGCTTAAAACCATATTAATGGGGCGTGTCTCAAGCTACGAAGTCAAGTGAGGTTTATTTTTCCAACGAGTTAAATCAACAACAATCGAAGAAAAATTACGAGAAAATGATAAATACACAGTTTCACTGAGAAAGGAAGTCGCGGGAAATATTTGGTACTTCCGAAGTATGGAAACCAAAATGGCGGACACCGGAACGTAGTATGTCTACCAGGTTAGCTTTAGACAATAATTTTGTTCCAATTTTCCCTATTTTAGTTCTATTACGAGTTCGAGGACTAGACAAGTGACTACCGTAGTATTTGTATCTAAAACTATAGCCTGGCCCAGGGGTCGGTAAACCCATGGCTCGCGAGCCATATCCCTTTTGGTGACGACATTTGTCTCCCAGAAAAATCTAATATTCTAAGGCTAAGCTTACTATTTTTACGATATTTTGAACTCTTTCATAGCCAAATTCGCCAATAAGTTTAAGAACGCGCGCCCAACGCATGTCTATGTTATGCAAGAGAATTACCTGACAGGCATTTCCGGAACATATTGTGACATCAAAAATCGATAGGGGCGCGGAGCAATGGAGAAAAGTTTTTCGTCCGTTTGTACGTACTGGTTACACAGTATTTGTCATATTTAGATCGGACTAGCGAAACTAGATTTTAAAATGCTGTGGAGATGCCTAAACATGAGAAGGGTGATCACATTGATGAGTATCGTAGATTTCAACTTGTGCTGCATGTGAGCAACCGTTCAAGGCCCTCAGCGACAACATGCAGTATCAGAATGTGTCGACTTTTAAGAAAATTTTCAGGCCTGATTGAAGGAAGAAATTATATATGGCTCGCACGGAATACAATCGAAAATATGTGCTTTTCATGGCTCTCTTGACCAAAAAGGTTCCCGACCCCTGTTTACACTATATGTAGATATAGGAAGACGTTTGCAGATTTTAGTAAATTTTTTGGTGGTTTTTGCTTGGGTTAGCTCTATAAATGAAAGATACTGATCAATATGTTTGCACAATAAAAGTGTTTTTTGTATTGCACTGTTTAACTATTCATATTCATTATCATCCGCGAACAATGCGAAGATAATTTTGTTGCCCGCGTAGCCGACAACCTTGGACCACCCTGGTCTAGATTATTTGTTGAAACTCAATAACACAGAAAATGGATACAACATTTTTGGTACTCCCGAAGTATGGAAACGTAGTATGTCTACCAGGTTAGCGTTAGGCAATAATTTTGTTCCAGTTTTCCTATTTTAGTTCTATTACGAGTTCGAAGACTAGACAAGTGACTAACGTAGTATTTGTACCTAAAAACTATGGCCTAACCCTAACCTGGTACACAATTGCGCAACTGTTAGAAATGTGCAAGCCCGATCAATGCTAGGTAAAATACGTGAAATGCTGGACTGTTTCAGCGCTTTTGCGCTTGTTTTTGTGTATAAATCACTTAAGACAGCGATCACTTAAGACACCTTTTTACGCGAATTACCAAATTTCATGATTTTTTGTATTATATTGTTTTTCATAAATAGTTCAATTTCATCACATATTAACTTAGTATTTCGCAGACTTGGAATATGAATTCTAGTGCTAATGCCCGAATATTGACCTTGCTGGTTATTTCATTACTGATTCTGTTGCTATCTGTCGATATGGTTGCATGCCAAGGCGGAGGAGGAGGGGCAGGAGGAATAGGAGAAGGTATAAAATATAAGATAGAAGCAGTGGTGAGCTGTAGCCGGGACGAAACGGAACGGCGTTCCAGTTGTTGAACATTTTAGTGCATTTGCATTCCTGTTGTGAAAATAAAATTATGGTACAAAAAGTCTAATTATTTTGGTAAACTTAATTATTAATTTACGTTTTGTTACATCATAATTCGTAATTCTTTTAACATCACAGACATATTTTAAATAATTTATTCATATTTCATTGCAGTTCTCCGGCTTTATCTTAGAACAGAGAAAAATTTCTGGTAACGTCCGCGTCGTGTTGTGCGATCCGGTTGTTACGGTTTTTCCAGCTCATCTCTGGATAGAAGTATAGGGTTTATATATTTATCTCAGAGGAGAAGAAAGCCGATAATGCGGCTTGACCACATGGCGAACCACGACCTTTCGTCGGGTTACCATTTGATGTCGGGTATGGGATTAGTTAGTTATCTGTTTTCGGACGCATGGCCATGATGGTGGAGGGAGCCGTAACCGACCAGCGGTTACGTGAACCGAAGAGTCCAGCAATCCTCTCGCACATAAGCATTCCTGCATGGGATTCGAAAATTTACGAGTGGGTTGCTGCCCGAGTTCAAATTTTTGTTGGTCAAACAGAAAAGTGAAGTCCACTTGAATATCATTCGTTGAAGTGAATATCATGTTTTGCAAACTCCAAATGAAACTTTCCACATTCTCTTGATTCAATTTTGTATTTTCAACAGGCTTCGTGGAACAGTTGGAGGATAAAATCCTCGAAGAATAATGAGGTGATTTTATATTTCAAACTTTCTATTTTTGGCCCACGGTACCGAATGCATATATATATATACCTATTAAATTTTTTATTTCCTTTCAGCTGTTTTGCCTGAAGATCAGAATATGCATGGAAATATATTGTGTATAACATTATTTTAAATGTATCTGAGAGGCAATAATTAAAAGTTGTATTAAATAAATGTGCTTATGATTTGAATCAATATGGGTAGTTTCAATATATATATATACACCTCCAACGGCCAATTAAAATAATTGGTACTCTCGTAGTATGTGTACCAGGCTAGGGATAGGCCATAATTTCAGGTGCAAATACTAATGGAGTCACTTGGCTAGTCTCCTAACTCCTAATAGAACTAAAATAAGGAAAATTGGAATAAAATAATGGCCTAACCTGGTATACATACTACGTTCCGGTGTCCGCCATCTTGGTTCGCATACTACAGGAGTACCCATTTTTTTCTCAAGTTTCAATCAACAAGTTGTATGCTTGTGGGGAGTTTTCAAGTCTGACAATCTGGTAAATTACGTAGAATATTGAGATGTACGTAATCAGTACTGGCAGCGAAACCGTACCGGTACCTGTAGAAGCGTAGCCGGTAACACAGGTTACTGTTTTCGTTTGCTGATAATGTTGAAGGCCAGCGTAAAGGACAGTAAATTCGAAACACTAACATTTCATTTTATTTTAAATTACATATTTGAACATCGGGTGTCGCCTAATAGCTGGAAGTCTTAAAAGGCCAAAAATAAAATTTAGAATTGAATACACGCCTCGAGCTATGAAATATGGTTACACTGTTGATTACAAAATACGTACATAAGATTCGTTATATAGAACCTGCTTAGTTCGACTTTATTTTATGAATGAAATGTCTAGATTGTTTGTTGAAACTCAATAACACAGAAAATGGATACAAAATATTTGGTACTCCCGAAGTATGGAAACCAAAATGGCGGACACCGGAACGTAGTATGTCTACCAGGTTAGCGTTAGGTAATAATTTTATTCCAATTTTCCCTATTTTAGTTCTATTACGAGTTCGAGGACTAGACAAGTGACTACCGTAGTATTTGTATCTAAAACTATGGCCTAACCCAGAGGTCGGTAAACCCATGGCTCGCGAGCCATATATGGCTCTTTTGGTGACGACATATGGCTCTCAGAAAAATCTAATATTCTAAGGCTAAGCTTACTATTTTTACGATATTTTGAACTCTTTCATAGCCAAATTTGGCAATAAGCTTAAGAACGCGCGCCCAGCGCATGTCTATGTTATGCGAGAGAATTACCTGACAGGCATTGTGACGAAACTAGGGAATTCCGGAACATATTGTGACATCAAAAATCGATAGGGGCGCGGAGCAATGGAGAAGAGCTTTTCGTCCGTTTGTACGTACTGGTTACACAGTATTTGTCATATTTAGATCGGACTAGCGAAACTAGATTTTAAAATGCTGTGGAGATGCCTAAACATGAGAAGGGTGATCACATTGATGAGTATCGTAGATTTCAACTTGTGCTGCATGTGAGCAACCGTTCAAGGCCCTCAGCGACAACATGCAGTATCAGAATGTGTTGACTTTTGAGAATATTTTCAGGCCTGATTGAAGGAAGAAATTATATATGGCTCGCACGGAAATGCAATCGAAAATATGTGCTTTTCATGGCTCTCTTGACCAAAAAGGTTCCCGACCCCTGTTTACACTATATGTAGATATAGGAAGACGTTTGCAGGTTTTAGTAAATTTTTTGGTGGTTTTTGCTTGGGTTAGCTCTATAAATGACAGATACTGATCAATATGTTTGCACAATAAAAGTGTTTTTTGTATTGCACTGTTTAACTATTCATATTCATTATCACCCGCGAACAATGCGAAGATAATTTTGTTGCCCGCGTAGCCGACAACCTTGGACCACCTTGGTCTAGATTATTTGTTGAAACTCAATAACACAGAAAATGGATACAAAATTTTTGGTACTCCCGAAGTATGGAAACGTAGTATGTCTACCAGGTTAGCGTTAGGCAATAATTTTGTTCCAGTTTTCCCTATTTTAGTTCTATTACGAGTTCGAGGACTAGACAAGTGACTACCGTAGTTTTTGTATACTTAAAACTATGACCTAACCCTAACCTGGTACACAATTGCGCAACTGTTAGAAGTGTTCAAGCCTGATCAATGCTAGGTGAAATGTTGGACTGTTTCTTTTGTGCTTAATTTTGTGTATAAATCACTTAAGACAGCAAACTTGCACGTCGAAATACTTTTGTTGCCATTTTGATCTTTCACTGGGGCATTATCTAGGCGACGGCTGGTAAAACAGTGTTTGTTTTGTTACGTTTTGTAATCCCGGAATCGAGCATAAAAGCATGTAATGTAGAATTCGTTGTATCTTGGAATAATAATAGACAAAATTATTCAACTGTCATTCTGAAAGAATTCTTCAGCCTTGCTATAAAAAGCCTTTCGTTAGAAAACAGTTTTGTCGCTTGTACTTAAAGTGTTTTTTTGCTCATCGCTGCTGTGGTGGGTAACCATTGACATAGCAAACATTTTTTACGCGAAATACCACATCTAATGATTTTTGTAATATTGTTTTTCATAAATAGTTCAGTTCTATTGCATATTAACTTAGTATTTCGCACACTTGGAATATGGATTTTGGTGCTCATGCCCGACTATTGATCTTGTTGGTAATTTCATTACTGGTGCTGTTGCAAGCTGTCGATATGGTTGCATGCCAAAAAGGAAGAAGAATAGGGGGCAGAGGAGGGAGAGGAGGAGAATTAGGAGAAGGTAAGTAGACTTGGTAATGCTGAAGTTACGCAAAGTAGCGAAGGAGTGAAATCAGCATGTTTTAAAAGAGTATGGGATAGGAGAGAGTATGGCTCGACGGTGTGGCGCATCGTGCTTAGCGTCAGGAATACGCTCGCCACCGCAGCTCTGATTACCCTTCATGGGATCGAATCCCATGCGGGGATGATCATGTGCGAGAGCATCGCTGAATTCCTCGCCGCCGTATTATGGTTCACGTAATCGCTGGTCGGTTACGGCTTCCTCCACCATCAAGTCCATTATTCCGAAAACAAATAACTGGCTAACTAATCCCATACCCGACCTGGAACGGTAACCGGACGAGAGGCCGTGGTTCGCTATATATGATTAAGCCGTCTTATCGGCTTTCCTCTCCCCCGGGATAAATATGTAAATCCGATAGGGAAAGTTTCAAAAACGTTTCAGCAACGCGATATAAGAATTCGGGATTCGAACCCGCGAAACCACGCAGAGTAATTAGAGGTGCGGTAGCGAGCGTATTCCTAACGCTTAGCACAATGAGCCACACCGCCGCGTCCTATGAAACTGAAATCATTCAAAATTTACGAGTGGGTTGTTGGCCGAGTTCAAATTTTTGTTAGTCAAACAGAAAATTGAAGTCCAGTTGATAATTATAATCATTTGTTGAATTGAATATCATGTTTTGCCAACTTCAAATGAAACTTTCCACAACCTCTTGATTCAATTTTGTATTTTCAACAGGCTTCGTGGAACAGCTGGAGAATAAAATCCTTGAAGAATAATGAGGTGATTTTATATTTCAAACTTTCTATTTTTGGCCCACGGTACCGAATGCATATATATATACCTATTGAATTTTTTATTTTATTTCAGCTGTTTTGCCTGAAGATCAGAATATGCATGGAAATATATTGTGTATAACATTATTTGAAATGTATCTGAGAGGCAATAAATAAAAGTTGTATCGAAATAAATGGACTTATGATTTGAATCAATATGGGTAAATTCAATGTTTATATGTATACAGTGCAAACGGCCAATGAAAATTTATTGGTACTCTTGTAGTATGTGAACCAAGATGGCGGACACCGGAACGTAGTAGGTGGTCCAGATTTGGGATAGGCAATAATTTCAGGTAAAAATACTAATAGAGTACTTGGCTAAAATAAGGAAAATTGGAATAAAATAATGACCTAACCTGATACACATACTACGTTACGGTGTCCGCCATCTTAGTTCACATACTTCGGGAGTACCGAATATTGAATACAAATCTCTTGACTTGGTGTCCGAACCAGCATATTTATACACTTTGTTTACACCCACGATCATTTACTGTGGCCCAATCTTGGAACTTGTGTCGTCTGATAGCTGGATGTCTTAGAGGAAAATGAGAGAAACATTTTACCGAGAAAACAGAATACAAAGTGAGAGAAAAAGAAATTTGGAAAAGAGGAGAGAGAATATGGTAGCCAAAAAATAAAAAAAACATTACACTGTGCTTGTTTTTGTTACGACGGTTCAAATTATACGAACTAGCTTTTAAGTAGGAAAATAAATTCAGAATTTAAAGTTTTTGCATTTTTGTTGGAACATGAGACCAATGACATTAAACAACATGATAGGCAACTCTGACGTCACTCCATAAGACTACATGCGAAAGATTGTATTTCATGATGCGCTCCAATGCACATATTTCTCGTCGCCTTTCGCGACCGTTTTCCGCTCGCTTTTGCTACCCGGCGTACGTGTAGTGGCTGCCTTTTTGCGCCTGTAACGAAAGAAAATAATCTCTATATCTAAGAAGTTTTGCTCACTTGGAAAGCTGAAATGGCAGACAAGCTGTAAAGAGTAATTCTGGACATCATAGACGTTTTTTTTTTATCAGAGAAGATTACAAACGCGATAGCGTAAAGATTTTGTGGAACATTTTGCAGATAATGACAAAGTTCAAAGTTAGTAATTTTAATGTTTGCGCTTAAACATTGAAATTTCATTTAAAGAGAGTGTCATACTATAGCATGTATTATTTGTAAATGAATGTGATGTTACCATATATTGCTATTTCGTAGATTGTCTCTGACTTGTAAGTCACTCGTTCACCCTTCAGCTTCAGCGCCCACGTAAATGAAGATGCGTTAAAAATCTCTATATGTTTTTATTCGTAAATTTCCACAACACACAGAATATAAATCTTATAACATTTATCCAGACTAGCTTAGAATGGTTACATCGTCTTCTCTTCCGAAAGATATCGGAGTCGTATTTATACGTCGATCATAAATCTAATTAAATGCTATAAACGTGAGCTCGTGATTCACGTTATAAACAGAAATTCCTATTATCTCAATAAGGGTAATTATGTACATCGTACGGATAGGAACTTAGATATAATTATTTCAATCAGTGCCAAAGGTCTTGAGAATATAGATTTTAATTTGATAATGACTGGATGGAACCTGTTATGTTCTTAAAACTGGTGTAATTTGATTCCTACGAAAGTCTTTGTTCGAATTTTGGGAAAAATTAACTTTGTTTTGATGATTTCAACATGAGATGGGGTACATTTGGGGGTTAGTTGCTATATTATCTCCCCATCTTACTAACTGGAAGTTTAAAGATTTGGCAACTCTAATAAATTGAAAATATATAGAAAAATACAATACACAATGCTAAAATTAATGATATAGGTCAAAAAAAACAAATATTTAAATGTATATGATCTATAATGAGACACGACATTGAAATGAAGAAGAGTTTATAGAAAGGGTAAAGGTTGTAAAGTAGAATTACAGAAGGATGGCGTATTTTTATTTGAAAAATTTTGGTTTGGACGGTTAAAACATATTTTCAATTTAATGTATTTCGCTAAGTTAAAATACTTATACTCGCTTTATCGCATTGTTACGATTTTGTAGACCTAGTTGGTCAATATATGCTTGTCCCATGTCGGGAAGAATAAGCGCGTTGCGACCTAGTTGGTCTATATATATATTTGTCCCATGTCGGGCAGAGTAAGCGCGTTGCGACCTAGTTGGTCTATATATATATGCTTGTCCCATGTCGGGAAGAAAAAACGCATTTTTAAGTGTATGCCATCTCAGGGCTTTTTTGAAAAAATAACGCTTTTGGTTACAATTTTTGTTTAACGAGCTTATTATTTCACCGTTCGATATGACGGCTTTGTAAATAATTAAAAGTATGACTCGCTCGAATCTACTTTTAGAAAGCATTTTAATTCTAACGAAATCTATTTAATCGAAAAGGAATGCTAACCACAAATATTCAATAATATAAATCTCTTGAAAGGTATTTGAAATTAGAATATTCAAAGTTGTTACCATTAATTAATTTATAAAAATTAAAAGTCGAATGAAACGCCATGTATATATAAGAAGAAAAAGAAGTACTTTACCTTAGTATTAGTGGAAGAATGAAAAATGTCTGTCTCAATGAGGAGAAAAACCTGCAAATCATGAAACAAATTGTAGAATTACATGCTCCTGATCTGTATATCCAATAGGTAAGCGCGACAATTTCTCTATTGTTCGGAATAGAGCGCGTAATTTACAGTAAAACAGTCCATGTATATAGTTCATTGTTTTCAACAGTTTGTTTTTGATTAGGTTTTTCATCTCGAACATATACCATGTTCTAAAAGAGTTCATTTCGATCGATGTTCAATACAGTCCATATTCATAATTTTAACGTTTCCAGAGTCTGTTACCATAGTGCAACTGTTTTCAATTGAGTTTATTGTCTTTTCATAATGTTTTTGATTATTTCGGCTTGTCAGCAATTTGATACTTCACTCGTTGTTCCAGTCAATTTGAATCTCCCCGACGTTCGTAAGTTCGCACGTTTTGTGGAGACGGTTTCTCGGCACTTATTGAAAGCTTTCGCTTGGTCAGCTTTTTGGTTGATTCCGTCCAATTGTTGCTTGTCCTGGTTGTTGTCCGTTGATCTGGTCCGTTTCAGAAGGTTAATTCAAGTCGGTTTTGTCACCATTTATGGCATAAAGAGTTGTTAGATGAATGTGGTGTGACCGTATATTGCTATTTCGTAGATTGTCTCTGACTTGTAAGTCACTCGTTCACCCTTCAGCTTCAGCGCCCACGTAAATGAAGATGCGTTAAAAATCTCTATATGTTTTTATTCGTAAATTTCCACAACACACAGAATATAAATCTTATAACATTTATCCAGACTAGCTTAGAATGGTTACATCGTCTTCTCTTCCGAAAGATATCGGAGTCGTATTTATACGTCGATCATAAATCTAATTAAATGCTATAAACGTGAGCTCGTGATTCACGTTATAAACAGAAATTCCTATTATCTCAACAAGGGTAATTATGTACATCGTACGGATAGGAACTTAGATATAATTATTTCAATCAGTGCCAAAGGTCTTGAGAATATAGATTTTAATTTGATAATGACTGGATGGAACCTGTTATGTTCTTAAAACTGGTGTAATTTGATTCCTACGAAAGTCTTTGTTCGAATTTTGGGAAAAATTAACTTTGTTTTGATGATTTCAACATGAGATGGGGTACATTTGGGGGTTAGTTGCTATAATACAAAACAGCAAAATTGTTTTTACTTCTCTTAACGGTGCTGTGATACAATTCCATAACACTAGTTTGCACCTATCGAATTTGCTTTAGTAGGTTAATTTATTAGACATAATTACATATTTAGGTAACCGTAGGTAACATTGCTGGTACATAATGCCTCGTAGATAGGTTTGTGTCTAAATGTAGGAATTTAGTTCATAGCCCACTAATTAATATCTTCTATGCGGGAGGTTGCAGGGCTGATTCAACTTGCAGCCTTACCGATCATCTGACGATGCTCATTTAGTTTGGCTCGAGTAAGTCTTCTTGAAAAACTTGTATGAATGGAAACTACCTATATGTTTTTCCTTCCTCCGATTTTAGAAGACAAATTTATTCTGAGGGATTTGGCATATAATTCTCATTGAATGTTGGCTGTTTATGATTCCTATTAATTGTGAATTCTGATTATAACAAAGAGTTTTACGGGCACCTTTTTCTTGTCAATACTCCAAGCTGAGGTAATAAACAAGACAATACTGTACATTTATGTCTTCTGGAAGCAAAATATGCACACTAATAAAAAGTTTGACCGTAAATATATACTACTACGGTTTAACACATTGAGATAATACATCATGACAGAAAATACAAGTTAAAGATATGTATGACCATCACATGGTAATTAAAATTAAAAAAAAATTAATAGGGGCTGTGGAGTATGAAAAGTTCAAGACAAAGAAAAGAACAAAAGTTCATAGCTCACGAACTCTCAATTTTGCCTCCATTGCTTTGTGAAGGCCAATATATTCCGAGTGACTGAATTGGTTTACCTTTATGATAGCAACGATTTTGTATTTATGTAGCGAGATTTTTTTCAATTTAATTGAAGTGATATTATTTCCCAAAGCAATGCTTGAATTGTCTAGAATAGATCAGTGGTGTCAAACGCATGGGTTTTCGAGAGTCGCATTGCATTTTGGAAATTGTAAAAAGGGCCGAAAACACTTTTTGATAATGTATACTTGAAAGATATGTTTTTCAGAAAGTTTTAGTTTGTGACATATATTGTGATGCAACTAAACAGTTGATTAAGTTTTATTATTTTCTTTAATTTCAAATGCAATTACATATTAATATTTGCATTCCACTATTATTGCAAGTTACTGTATTTATTAAAAAAAATCATAAAATTCTTTATACAACCATCAAAATCATTTTTGAACAAGCTTTGGATAAGGAAAGAATAATACATACACTAAAAATGACTTAATCTGGATATATATGGACTCAAAATTAACAAAAATACTACAGTATAAACTCAATGTTTTTTTAATTACATTTGTCCTGACGTTTGGTATCTCTTTGTGTCACCAGCATACTAAGGCCAGGCTGAAATGATTTTATGGTACCAACTCTAACTAACGAGGTCACATGATCATGGGTTAATCTGGAACTTTGCGAATGTTTAATTAATTCCAGTAATGCAAAAAAGTTACTTTTATCATTTCATGAATAGATCAGTAGAAAAACAAATGACAGATATTTTCGACAAGACATTTCGCGCCACATTGCATAGCATAGGATTGCTTAAATTATTATTGATATTGATTTTTAGTAACTAAGTCGTTGTATATTTATATTAATATACAAACACATGGAAATTTTCTGTTCGAAGTTGGTCTTCAAAATTGTCATATTGACTGCTGAGCTTAATGTGTTTTTCATTGTACTGATGGAAATATGACAAATTAAACAATGTGCTTCAAAATTTTGTGAAATGCAGAAATATTGCAACTCCCATTTTCTTCGAAAATGCCACCTTCTTCATGTACTTTGCGTTTAATTTATTCACTCAAGTGTTTTATTCAAGTATTCTTTTGCTAGCTTGATGTGTATTCTTAATTGGGTCAAAATGTGAACAAAAAAAAATTAATTTTCCAAAACTACTTTGCTTTCTGTGTGAATATTCAATTTCACTTTAAAAAGGTTGAAAAATCTATTACACTTAGATAAAAAAAACTCCAAAATACTATTACAATTATTGTTAAGCGTTCGAGGGCCTCACTGGAAGTTCTCTGAGGCCGCGAGTTTGATATCCCTGGTCTTGATTGAAGTTGTCCAAAATATATAACAGTATTTTATCATGAATCATGATTATACCCTTTCATGAATTTCTTCTTTAGTACTACCAAAAGTTGATGAATCAAATATAACACAGGTGTAGTGAGTGACCCATAATCCTCATTTTCCAAAGCTGTTTTAAGTATGTCTGGCATGTTTTGTGCCTTTTTACAAAGAAGACCGCTTCTGCAATCTTACGCTTCGGAATTTTTAGTTATTTTCCTCAAGCCCTGCGGGATGTAGGGGCCATACACAACTCTACCGGAGGTTCAAATGTCTTTGCATGCCTCCATAGGTTGTTCTTCTATTGCAAACATTTATGGAGTATTCTGATTGTATTTCTTGGAATCACACTGTCACTGATATGTCGCCAGACTTCTGAAATATCCCCTTCTGCTACAGTTGTCCTGTGAATAAATATTAGGAAATTGAGGTTGGACGAATAGTTAAAAGTTTTGCTTTATGTCGGCTTAATTTCTTGATTGATATACTTACTATTTTTGCTATTGCCTCTTGTGCTGTAGGAGTCCCACAATGCTTAGACAGGTTTTTCCAAAACTTTCACATCTGAAGAAAGAGAGGAGATTCAATAATTTTCGTTAAGAATAAATAAAGCAGTCTATATGATTTAGATTGGAAAAGCTAATAAATCCAATATCTCATGTTTTAAGTAAAAAATGTTTTACTGAATTTGGTATATAAACCAACTAATAAAGGGGTTTAGTCAGAAAATTACAAGCATCGGTGGCTCCAAATACTTGAGAGATCAGACTATACAATATAGACCGGTATGAGTGAAATGTTAGGTGAACTTGTTAACCCTTTGATTCAATACGCAAATAAAAGTGAATGAGCAATAGTATGTTACAGCAATGAGTATATATCCTCACTGATTAAAAAAAATCGAAATGGAGGTGTATGAACTATTTGAAACCATAAGGGGTAAGTAAATAAGCAATTTCGGCAAATGGGCAACTACGTACCGTACTGATTTAATACCTTCGTAGTATTTGACAAAAGCTGGCTTTCCCACATGTACTTAACAGTGCGATGCCCGAGTGTGATATACAACAATAGTATTTACCTTACTTTTTTCCGATTTCTTTTTACCTTCAATTTTCCAATATATCATTAAAATCGACAACAACTGTCAAAGCAGGCACGAACACCATTCGTGCTATGCCTTGAAAGCAGCACACATTCGCTCGTTTTCGTCTCGTCAAGTATGTGCATTGGAGCGTGCTATCGGATACGATCTACGGCCAAAAATGCCGGAGTTGCGCATCATGTTGTTTAATGTCATTGATGAGACGTACATATGTTTTGTCAAAAGAAAATTCCAGACACTGGAGGTTGACGAGATTGAAATCTCGAAAGGAAACTAAAAATTACTAGTCGACTGAGACCTTTTCAGGTCTACTTAAAAATCGATTGCGAGTTCTCAAATATTACGTTTGGAGGACCTCCTGAAGTATGCGAATCACGATGGCGCACAACCTGAACTCAGGTTGTGTACCAGGTTAGGGTTCAGGTTATGCGACATCTCGGTGCGCATACTTCCAAGTGCAGTTTTAAGTTTTCTTTGGCGTCTGCAGCTGCCGCAAAACCATGGCGGTATTTCCATACCATGGCCGCCACGGCCAAACTTACGGCGATTGACTTTTTAGCTACCACAAACCAAAATCTAGCTGCGTTACCGCGGCAGCAAATGAACACCAATGGCAGGTAAAATTTTGCTGCCGTAACCGCGGCAGGTGGGCCGTAAGGACAGGGCTATCTCTCATGGTGACAAATATTGGGTAAGTTGGAACGTTTTCCTTATGAATACAGTTTTGATGGGTTTGGGGTTAGGGTTTAAGTAGATATAATTCCACATGATCAATTAAAATCTGGTACATTAATTTGTGAATATACCGTCAATACTGAATACTGAGTAGCGCTATAAAACCATGGCAAGAGCTGCCGCGGTTCGTTCGTGGCAGGAGCTGCCATGAAGTGGTAAAAATTGCGCCTCCATACTTCAGTAGTACCCGTTTAGAATTTCAGAACTTCCATATATTCAGCCCCATTTATAAAGAGAGAGTCCGTGTTCTAATATCGTTTTAACTTATCTTCTTTTCAGCTATTCTCCTATCGGGTGTGCAGTTATTCTTCACCATATGTTTAATTTAAACTGCTTTAACTTTCATTTTTTTCGAATAAAGTAGAAATCCGGTTCTAACTTTCTGTAGGCTAAAAAAATATTATATCGCGCAAATGGTTTTCGCTCAAAATGACCTGCTTTCATAAAACCTTCCCTCTACCACTCCAACGAAATGTTAGCGAAATCCTGCTGCCCGAATACACGATGGCATAAAAAGTGTTTTCTAACGAAATTTAGTACTTGAATAAAATTTGTTAAAAATCCGCAATGGAGGCAGACATTTTTTTGTGTATAAATACATTCCAATCTCTACTGATAAATAAAGTTAAGCGCTCGTAATGCGTGTAATGTACAATGCGAATTTATCAAGCGTTAACTTTGCTTTTGTGGCAATAAATCTCACTCGCTCTCTCAAAAAGAGACAATTCGTATAAGGTAAACACTATTTTATGATATCGTGAATTTTGCAGCAGGATTTCGCTAGCATTTCGTTAATATGCTAGCGGCTAAATCATCAGCTGGCATAAATTAATTGTGTTCCCAAGTAATAAAATACTTTGCAATCCTATGGGTATATTGGAATAATGGATATATAATGTAGTGATTCTTACTATGGGATAATAAAAAAATTAAATACAATGAATGTCTGCAAGTAATAATTTCAAAATTATAAATAAATTGAAAGTATTTTATTCAATATGGGAACATCTCGCAAATCGCTCGCGAAGAGCAATAAAGACAATAAAGCAGTTCGGATTAGTATTCGAGTAGCGTAGCGGCGTTCAATCAATTCAACTTTTGTCTCTGGGAGGAGGAAAGTTGACAAGACGGCTTAATCATATGGTGAACCACGGCTCCTCGTCCGGTTAGGAATGGGATTAGTTCTTCTGTTCTCTGATGCATGCATTCTTCACTACTTTGCAGCTTTGTGTGAGGGATAGTTAGTTTATTTAAATTCTTCGATAGAAGAAGGATAGAATTTTCATATTCACAGATTTATTGGGGAAAAGGAAAGGGATGAGATGGCTTAATGAATCATATGATGAACAAAATTGCCACTCCAAGTCGGGTCTGAACCACCATCTTCTGACCTTACGGCGAGGAGTCCAGCAATCCTCTCGCATATAAAAATCTCCGCATGGGATTCGATCCTGCGAAACCATGCAAGGCAATCAGAGATGCGGTGGCAAGCGTATTCCTAACGCTTAGCACGATTCGCCACACCGCCGAGCTGTAATACACATAAATTAAAAATGAAAAAGATGCTTCTTCAATCCTTATAATTCAGTAATTACTTAGCTATAAGCTCCGAAGTGCGTAGAAGCAGCAATGTATTGAAAGGAGCTGTATTTTGGTGGATATAATCGTAGGGGACTTATTCAACGGACGGATTCTTGGACAACAACAGGTGATTATTAACGCAACTCACTTTAACATACTGCAGTACTGACATAAACAGTTGTTTCTGTTTCATAAAGAAATTGCAAGACTTTCATGATCATGATCAAACTGATCATTGATATGTGGGTATTAAACTATCAACGATTTGCATAAAACTGTCAATTATAGGATAGGATTTACATATTTATCCCGGGGGAGGGGAAAGCCGAAAAGACGGCTTATCCATATGGCGAACCACGGCCTCTCGTCCGGTTACCGGTACCATTCCAAGTCGGGTATGGGATTAGTTATATTATTTGTTTTCGGAAGCATGGACTTGGTGGTGGAGGAAGCCGTAACCGACCAGCGGTTACGTGAACCACCCAACGACGGCGAGGAGTCCAGCAATCCTCTCGCACATAACCATCCCTGCATAGGATTCGAACCTGCGAACCCATGCAGAGTAATTAGAGGTGCGGTGGCGAGCGTATTCCTAACGCTTAGCCCGTTGAGCCACACCGCCGCGTTTGGGTCTTGTTTAGTTTAGTATCACATGTACTTCCAGTGGGTGTAGCTCAGCAATTTTTGCATATTTCACTCCTAACCCACATCTGACTACGTCATCTAAAAATCAAGCCACTACGAACGATGTCACAGTGACATATTTAGGCCCGTTAAAATATACTGTCGTCGCTCGAAACGCGCAGGTGATCACCTTATATTCAGCGTGATTATGACGTCGCAATGAACTAATTTTTGATGACGTAGTCAGGTGGGGGTTAGGAATAACATATGCAGAAATGGCTACCTGTACACCCATTTGAAGTACATGTGATACTAAACTATACCAGACCCTATTTTTTGATTTATCGAACGGTCTTATGTTTTAGCGCCATTGAAGTACTACTGTACTACCAGCAAAGTTCGTACCAGCCCCATATGTACAGTATATAGGATAGGAGGCTGGGTTTCCATGTGTCAAATGCGAAGGCATCAAATTTAAAGTAGATCACCTGTTTTATTTTATTCATTTGACTGTAAAGCATTTATTCTCTTTGTTTGTTGGCTTTCTATAATTAAACATGGTGAATAAAATAGCTGATGGAAACTCATTTAAAAAATAATCTGGAAATTTTTCACTGAAGAGAAGGCGCCAATAAAACTTAGAGCTTAAGAAGGGGCCACAAATAATGAATATGATTACGAACCAGCAGAATGAGATTTTTACATTTATACCAGAAGAACACAATTATATAGTGAGCTACAGCTCCTTGTGTTTTTGCCAACGCATATCAAGCCAACTGGATACTTGTTTCAAATGCATGGGCTCCATGGTGAAAGAAGTAACCAATCAGCAATCCAGCCATCCTCCCATACATAATGCAGTACGGCACACTATACAGATCGGGTGACATTGTCTCGTTTCAGAGAAACCCTATTCTGCCGGTGATCAGACACCCCTCCTTTGGGAGACGTCTGGACATTGTTGTCCCTCAATATCTGTAAAAATACAGTATAATAAAGTTGCGCAAAATACTACAAAGAAGCGCAATCTAATAAAGTCGTCATTGAATTCCTCGAGAAAAAATAATACGATTTACCGAAGAAAAAAAATATACCGTGGCATTCGAGAGTTTTTAGCAAAAAATGGCAATTTTGGTCACGAGACGGCCGCGATTAATTAAAATTATTATTGAGACAAGCATGGCACGATATGACGCATCTGACGTGGTGCCAGACGCCCCTCGTTTGTGAGACACATTGAGTGTTTGTTTTATTGAACCAAATGGAGGGAAATTCTTGGAATTCGGATGGTGTGCTGTACTGTTATGATCCCTCACAGGGCTTGACCTTGTGAATCTATAAGCATAAGTTTTATTTCGACTCCATAATCAGCATAACAGTCAATAGAATGATTGATAAAAACAAATAAATGTAAACTGATTATGAAATCCTTTTTTTCGAATAAAGTCGAAATCCATATGCAGGATAATCAATGGGAGATGCGAGAGCAAGTCTGTTTTAAGTGCTTAGCATGTTCATAACTGGCTATTGTTTCTTAGACAAATACTATGTTTATTTTATATTTTGAAATATTAGGACAATTGTGGAATCTAAGATATGCGGTGTAGGCATACTAATCAGTGCTGCCATTTCATTTTACAATTAAAACGTTTTATCCATTTTACACCCAAATGCAAATGGCGCCCATGGCACGAGATGCGGCTCCCATGCCCTAGATATGCCACTGGATATTAGTGAAACTGTAATGAAAATAACATTTCTATATTTCCTCTCCCAAAACTATCAAATTTGTCATTGGGAAGGAAGTCCTCATTAATTAAGGAATGCTAAATTAGGTAGAAGTGAAACTGCACTGAAGTTTATTCGGTGCCAAAAACTTAATATTCCTATTCATTATATTCCTATTCGTTTTATATTCCCAATCAAAACTTGAAATTGCAGATGAACTATGACCTCTCCTTCTGGGAACAACAATCATGTATATTTTGTTCGACACAGAAGTCCTCGACAGTAAGTTCAGTTTTATTTCCTCCACTAGGAAGTACAGTTTTGATCACCCTGTTAGGCAGGGCTGTGTTATTCGGGTCTAGTATAGTTTAGTACCACAAGTACTTCCGGTCGGCGCAACGAATTTCGCATATGTTATTCCCAACCCCCACCTGACTATGTCATCCAAAAATTACGTCACTTTGACGACCAACTGGAAATACATGTCAGCATGTGGTACCAAACTATACCAGACCTGTGCGGTTTTACTCACTTCGCTTATCAGGGCAGTGTAATTTATTATATTACGGAGAGAGAGAGAGGGATTTTATTATCGCAAACAATGTCAGCACACCGATACATTTGAAGTAACAGAAAATAAAAAGAATATCACAATAATTGGTTGATCATTAGTTGTGAAGTTCAGTTAGGTCACTAAGGCTCCTATCTCATGCTGTCAATCAAATATAGCATCAGCTCTAAGTCGAATCTAGGTAAAAAAAAACTCTTGCTTCAACATTAGTTCCCATCTCTAAAGTTTTGCTAGCAAAACTCCTGCATATGCAATCCCTATTTAATTGTCTGTTGTGAATTCTTATACAACTCATTGCTATTTGAGTTTTGGCATAAATTCTGAAGAATTCAGTATTATGACTCTCGACTTTGAATTCAATTCCAATATAAAGATGTGTATTCCTGATGGCTAGCACGATGCGTCACACCGCCGAGCCCACCACCTACTTCGTTTGGCTTACGTGTCCATGTATTTGAGCATTGCTCTCTTGCTTGTTTTTTCATGATGCGCATGTTGACAAATAAATAATTCATTGCTTTCACAGAATAATTCAACGTTCATTGAGTGTTGGAGGACCTGTGTATAATAGGGTAAGAAATCTAGTATTCTCTTTTATATATATTTCACCAAATTCTGATTACGAAAAGTGAGGCTATAAAAATTAGGTGGATGACCGGTACTGCTGTAGTATGTGTACCAGGTTAGGTCATAATTTTATTCCGATTTTTCTCATTTTAGTTCTATTACGAGTTCGGGGATGGTATGTGTTAGCCAAGTGAATATACCCCCTATACCCAAGTTTCAGTCCCTTTACACAACTTGATGTAAAGTAGGCGAACAAAATTAGTTACCTCCACATTGGTACACATACTTCTAAAGCGCCGGCCCATCCTTGGCCTAGGGATGACCAAACAGAATATTTTACTATGAATATGGAATACTGAATACATTCTAAATTGGGGGCACGTTCATGTGGAAATCACATAAATCACTATATCTTCATCTTGATCACATCTAGAATGGCACAAATATAAAGGTCCTTGGTTTCTGTGTTGTTTGTTTTCAGTTGAGATATTGTACGTTTTGATCTGTTTGTCTGACTGCCTAAGCTTCTTGATTTTTTAATAAAAATATTTTAAATGATTCCTAAATTCAAAAATTTACTATATTGAATATATTGAATTTCAGATGTGTTCGATTCATTTTGGTTATTCCATGGTGGACCTGAATCAGTTAGATTGAAAAGCTTGGGAAAATGTATATACTATTTCAAAACTTTTTTTAAAAAAGCAACTCTAAAGGATTGGAGAAAATTTTGAGTTATGAACCATATTTTGATAAAACTTTTGGCGTATGCGAATATTTGTTTGTTGTAAATTACCGAACCGAATATCCTTGCAAGCCGAGTTTAAAACTAAAAAAAATTTGCCAAACTGAGCGCTCATACTTGCTTATAACTCAGGCTAAAGCAACCATTTGTTGTGATAGGTGTGTAGAGCGTGTTACTATTTGTAGGGTCGGCTTAAATATGGAAATTTTTATAAACTAATTCATCGTTTTTGAGCTGTTTTTAACGGGTGGTTTATAAGCGATGATATACGGTAATGCTTTTTGTGTTTTTGCCAGAAATTTGATTATCGCTGTTAAATATCTGAAATTTGGACTATGGAAAATTTTGATTTTTACCCCCGACCACACATTTGGTTTTGACATCAATAAAATCATGCCAAACTGCGACTCAACGTCGTTCTCAAAATCACTATATTTTATATCTATGCAGCAAATTGTTCAATCTCCATCACAAGTGGGCAGCACATCATCTTTACTCATATCAGCAAGCCCTCCTCAGGCTTTCAGGCTCCCCATGTCACAGTCTCAACGTTTTTCGCCATACCCTGCAAATAGGAGAGCCAGATGCAACTCAGACGTTGCCCCCTCTGTCATTGTGATGCCGAGTGTTATCCCGATAAATTCACGACTTCCAAGAGTCAATGTTTGTCAAGTTTCATCTGTGCGAACTATCACACCAAACACAGGTTAGTATTTATTTTTGTTTCGTATTGAAGATGTAAAAAATTATCATCTGTCTTCGACTCAAACTGTAAGCTAGTCGTTCTCAAACAGGGGGCCTACAAGGAGGGGGGGAGACATTTTTTTGAGGAGTCGTGAAGCTAAAAACATTTTGTTAGATTCAATCTTGCCCGTTTTATTTTGGATATTTACATTTCTTCATTGTTAATTACATTTTTTCATTATGTAGGCTACATGTATATTTAGAACAAGTTTTTCAAATGAAACATACTTTCACCTTACTATCTGTTATTTGTAGCTTATTACTTATCGATCTTAAAATCGGTAAGTATGTTGATAGGTATTTGTCTGTATGTCTGTGTGTTAGATGCACTCGATATCTCACGAAAGCGAGGTTGAATCTGCTCCAAATTTTGCATGTGCCTTCATCATAGCTCGGATCAGAAGCCTATTGATTTTGGATGGATTATGTCGTATAATTAGCGAGTTATTACTTAATTAGTGATGGGACACACGGTGTCACTATGGAGTAAGGCCACTGTTTTGGGGATCCCTTAACCTTCGATCGATGAGTCTACGGTTTCTAACCGATATTCTAGATGTTAGTTAGTTATTATTGAGGCGAGGTGAGAAATTTGACAAATTCTTAAAAGGATGCGTGGCCCAAATGTTTGAGAACCACTGCTCGAAGCCATTTAAAAAAAAATTTTTGTCTCCAGGTTGATACAAATTTCAACTCTGGTTCTCGATTTTATCTTGAGTCTACGGTTACCACTTTATTGCCTGTTGAAATCATATAGAATTATAGTGTTGCAATGTGCCCCAGTAAATTGCACAGAGGCATGTAAAGAGGAAAACTATTGTGTATTTGATTTCAATACGTATGGAAACTGTTTAAACGTGTCATTCTGGTCATTTCAAACTGTAGCTACTTAACTAACAGTGACTGCTTATATAAAGACCCATTTTTAGTAAAAGGCATAAAGGGAAACCTCATGAATAAAATGGAATATATCACTCAAATATACACAAGAATGTTATGTTTCTCCCTATATGAACAATTTACACAAACTCTGCCTCTTTTTGTTTCAATAATATGTTGTATTCCAGTAGATTTCCAACCTTTAATGCAGTGGTTCTCGACCTTTTATGGCTCGTGGCCCCCTTCCGAAGGCTTTTTGCACTCGTGGCCCCCATGTTCACCATTCTAAAAAAATTGACGTGTTAGATTGTATTATGTATTTACTTTTATTGAATGCAAAAACAAACATAGGTTCATTATATTAGGCACCGTCTTTCATATAGCCACGCAATTGTCACTGTCAACATCCAGGCGGTTACTAGATTTTGCTTTGTTCGTAAAAAGATCAGAAAAAAAATAGATCCGCACAGTTAGGTTGTGGCAAATTGAACTAGCAATGAAGAAGCTTTCTTACTAAGTAGTAGGTGAGAATCGCAAAGAGATAACCAGAAACTAGAAAAGTCTTCTTTGCTCAATTTCAAAGCAAACTTGTTGGCAAACATGAGCAGCCATGTCACTAATAAAGCCAACGTAACTGTGGTTCATTTTAGTATTATGGGCATAGGGAATTTACATATAGGCTTCTGCAGTTATAAGATATCGACGGTTATGTCGCAGTCTAGGGAAACTGCCCGTCTGCAGGTTAGACGGCACACCAACGAGCTATTCTGACTAGTAGATTCCAAATTCTATTATGATCAAATAAATTCACACATACAAGAGAGTGAATACACCTCGTGACTGGAAACAACCTATTCAGGTAATAAAACTGAGGTGAACGGGGAATTTACTTTTAAATGGAAAGTATGCAAATGAAGTCGCTTCACAATCAATTTTTAGCCTTGCGTCGTGCCCCCCCCCCCTTGAACTGCTTCGTGGCCCCCTTGGGGGGGCCCCCGGCCCCCGGTTGAAAACCTCTGCTTTAATGGCTCACGGCCCCTTTCCTGGGGCTTTTTGCTCTCACGTTCCCCCTGTTTATCATCCCATGGTATTTATAGTGTTATTATGATTGGTAGATTCCATATCCCATTATCTTCAAACAATTCATGTTCAACAAAGTGAAAATACTAACCTTGCCAAGTAATGGAACTAGGATGAACGGAAAGTTTTCTTGTAAAGTGAAAAGTAAACTCAGTTTTGCTTTTTACATTGTGGCCCCCAACAACTGGCCTGTGGCTCCTTTGGGGAGGTCATTGGCCCTCCATTGGGCCCTCTACAACTGGTCTGTGGCTCCTTTGAGGAGGTCATTGGCCCTCGATTGGGCCTCCTACAACTGGTCTGTGTCTCCTTTGGGGGAGGTCATAGGCCCTGGATTGGGCCCCCTACAACTGGTCTGTGTCTCCTTCGGGGGAGGTCATAGGCCATGGATTGGGTTCCCTACAACTGGTCTGATGCTCCTTTGGGGAGGTCATTGGCCCTCGATTGGGCCCTCTACAACTGGTCTGTGGCTCCTTTGAGGAAGTCATTGACCCTCGATTGGGTCTCCTGCAACTTGGCCTGTGTCTTCTTTGGGAGAGGACATGGGCCCTCAATTAGGCCCTTACAACTGGTATGTGTCTCATTTGGGAGTCTATAGGACCCCGATTGGGAACAGCTGATGTATTCTTTCTTGTCATTCTTAGGAATTCGAACATCACCCAAAGCAAAAGGGGGAGTGCCTGGGATCAGGCTGCCTGTAAGGAATGTGACTTCACATGGTGCTGTGAGAAAAGGAAATATTCAGGTTGGTGATTATGGGCATGGATTAGCTTGTTGTTATTTTGGCTATGAATAAGGCACAGTATAAGTTTCAATGATTAGGTAATAAGGCTCTTTATTTTGAAATCCAGGATATTTTGTTATAGTTGAAGCCATAGCTTGGGAATTTTCAAGGGGGGGGGGGGGGATTGTGAAATTTCCATTTGCCAAATTAGACTGTAATAAGTGGGTATTCAAAAATGTTAAAGGTCTAAAAAGCATTTCAAGCTTAAATAATTGCCATGTATGCAAAAAATGCCTTTTTTTACTTTTTTAAAGAGAGTTCCCTGGCTTTGCTTTTGGTTATGGTATTGCCTACCTATATTAACTAATGATCGACCAATGTATGGTAATTAGTGAATATTCCTTTAAGAACCAGCAATTTCCCAGAGTACGACTCAACGCAGAGAAGAATCATAGAGAAAGCGCTGGGTAAGTTGAAGCCAAACATTAAGGTTGACGATAGAATAAGAGGGGCTCCCGAAGTATGCGAACCAAGATGACGGACTTCGGAATGTAATATGTGTACTAGGTTAGGGTTAGGCCATAATTTTAGGTATAAATACTACGGGAGGCTCTTGGCTAGTCTTCGAACTGATAATAGGACTAAAATAAGGAAAATTGGAAAAAAATTATCGCTTAACCCTAACCTGTTACGCATGTTACGTTCCGATGTCCGCCATCTTGGTTCGCATACTTCGGGAGCACCGAATAAGGGCCATTCCAAGCAAAAGTTGAATTCCATCAATTTTTTAAAAAGTGTAGTGAAAGTAATTTTTTTTTATTTTTGATATCAGAAGACATTGGAATTTTATTGGACTACATTCATTTCATCGAACAATTCAAAATTTCACCCAGGTTTTTGATGGTTTTTAAAAAAAGGCCTGAAATGTAGAAATTTTGGTATCATTGAGATATTTTGTGATGATTCCTGACACAAAGGGTTTGATTGTGTGGTACAGTTATTTCATATGGAATTGACGCACTGGATTTAAGTTAATAAAGTTTAAATGTTTGCAGTGCTGTAGAACATTTCTTCACCCATTTAACGATTTATTACCAGAATTTTAAGAGATGATAGATGCCGCTATTCCGAAGTGGAAAAATGTCCTGTAGTGTCACGTCCTGTAGTGTCACATACAATATGCACATTACTGGCATGGATTTACAGTGTTACATTAAGTAACTTGAGCAACACATAGAGGGGTAGTTCAGCTACTGCACCAGAAAATATTATGGACTCCTACTGTACCATCGCAAAAATTTACAGCACAACACAACGTACTGTTAGTGCATGGTGGATTTGCCGTCCTGTAGTGTCATGCTATATTTTACTATATTTTTTTTATCTACTAAGTAAGGTTGGGTGTAACTTTTGTGCAATTTTTTACATATTCAATAAAGCAACTGATTGGACAATGAAACAAAACAAAATGTGAAAATGTGAAAATATATTGAATCTAACAACTTGAAAAATTTCTGGAATTGTCCCGTAGTGTCACTTGGAATAGCCCATAAGAAATCATTGCTATGAATTGAAATGCTCTTTTCCACTCTTTATTGCCAGGTTCAGAAATTATATTGACTAGTCTAGTCGCAAATATTAATATTTAACACTCCGGACTGAATTCCATGTCTATTATTCCCATCACCAGGTGGTGTAATTGCAATTTTGCGGGCCATATTCCTACTCAGTGTGAAATTTTTCTGTTCTTGAGGGAAATGTCTAGGACAGGGGTGGGCAAGGTGTTTTTACCAAGGGCCAAATATTGGGCCCGCTTAGTGTAAGCGTGACGTAAAAAAGATACATTTCATGAACAATATTTACAGTGTTGCAAAAGCAAAAGTGGAGAACAATAAGCCTTGTGCCAAAAATAAATTTAACCGTAATTTCAACAAATTCCTTGAGCTATTTTTCAGCTAAAACATCTAAATTTGGTTTATTTTGGTTGCGGCGGCATCAGGCTGCTAAACTGAATTACTCAACGGGCTGGATTAGGCCCACCGGCCGAAGTTTGGCCATGTCTAGGATGTCCATAGGAATGAGATTTTCAAACTTTTAACTCCTGTAATTCTCGGCACATTGAAAAAAAAAAAATTCATTCGACTTTATTATGGCGAAAAAAGTTTAATAATTTGAGCTCTGTTATTTATTATTTTTATTTTTTTTAGAATTCCGTCATCCAGCTTTTATAATGGTGGCACCTCAGGAGAATCTGATTTTTCACGTTTCTTGAAAGCAACTTGTGAAGTAAGTAGTGTGATTAATTAATCAATATATATGAGCTTTAGTGGGTTATTAGCTAGAGATGGGCTGTTCAGAGCAGGGGCATTGTCTAGGGCAGGGTGGTCCAAAGTTGTCGGCTCCGCGGGCCACAAAATTATTTTTTGCATTGTTCGCAGGCCACAATAGTGCCAAGAATAGGTAAACAGTGCAATACAAAACAAACACTTTTATTGTGCAAACACATAGCCATCCCAAGCTAATAGAATCCGCATTCGATTTTTAGTTTTCTATGATGCCTGTATTGTTACCATATATTCCCGACCAAAAAGATGGAAAGCCAGATAATAATTTAGACTGCCAAGCACATCATTCAACTTCGCTAGTTGCCTCAGCCAGCCATAACACTAGTCAATTCAGTGACATTAGTGATGTAACAATATGTCAAAAGATTTTTCTGATTAATTTTATTACGAAAACAAAATGCGTTTTTTTGATCACTCTCCGAATGTGACGCGGGCCATAGATAATAAAGCGGCGGGCCACATGTGGCCCACGGGCCTGAGTTTGGACCACCCTGGTCTAGGGGGAAGGTGGGTTGAAGGTCGCCCTCCCCCCTCCCCCTTTCAAATCTAAAAAAAAAAAAATTCTGTGTAATACATATCAATTTTTCATAGCCTGAAATGCTTTTCAGACTCTCAACACTCTTGGAATCCCACATTTTTCGGACCCGCTGTCTAACTTCGCACTCTGAAAATTCAGAATCCCCCCATTTTGATAATTCCTGGCTATCGCCCTGGTTCACCATCTGGACCAGTGTTCCGTTCCCTCTAAAGTGTGTGCGTGTGCGCCCGCACACAGCTTTCAGAGGCTGCGCACACGCACAGATTTACTGCGCACAAACGTATTTCAATGTAATGTAACAATGTGCTCGGTTGGCCGGCAACCTACGGCCCGCGGAGCACTATAATCCGGCCCGCGACGCTTCACTAAATTATAGTAACAAAACATTCATTTTGACAAATATATTCTTTCGACTAAATTATAATATAACCTGACAATTATATAATTCGCAATTACTCGTTTAATGAGCATATAATTTAATTATAATTAATCAAATGGCAACAAATCGCAGAAAAGTTGATGCTAAGTGCGAAGGGTTCAATGGCGCTGAAAATATTCAAATATAATTTTATGAGATGCAATGAGGTTATAAATCTATATTCTATTCGAGAGATGTATCACTGCTTGATTTTTATTATAAAAAGCACCATTCATTCGGTTTTTCAATTTTCTAAAAATATGTGTGGCCCGCCAATGACTTGCAACCTTAATTTTGGCCCGCGAGCGACAAAAGGTTGCCGACCCCTGCTCTAATTTATTGATGAAGGGCTGAAAATCGACTGCTTATATGGAGCTTCCCAATAAATACTTGAGAACACTTCATGAAATATATTGACCAGCGATTATTATTCGGCTTTTACCACTAAACCGGTCTATTTTTCAATATTTATAAATTTTAAAATTCTATCAGGACGTAAAGAAATCTTTCCCAGCTGTAGCAGTGCCGAAACCAACTACAAGAAAGAGATTGAATCTGGCAACTAAGCCTAAGAAAGCTGAGAATGGTGAGTTGACTTTTTAAGGAAGTTTTTGCTCTAAGGAAGGTTACGCGTACTCACTCAGAAGTAAAAAATGTGATCTCTGGGTGATTTATCGGCAACCAAAAAGCTTCATACAGTGGTGCATTGCTTTCATGGCGTGTGGCCCTCTTTTGGGGGCCTTCATCACTCAGTGCCCCCTGTTTATCATCCCAGTGGTATTTTGATTGGTAGATTCCAAATTCCACTATCCCAAACGAAAGTCAGAACACCTTGTGAAATAACCTTATCGACAGTGTTCCCTCTAAGGTGTGCGCGCGCACACAGCTTTCAGAGGCTGCGCACACGCATAGATTTACTGCGCACAGACGTATCTCGATGTAATGTAAAAATGTTCTTTTGTTCTTTTTTCACCCTTTATTTAAATTCAAATAAAACCATCTGTTACAATCAATTTCATTTACTATTTTCCATGTAAGTTATCTACTGATAACATATAGCCTTCACTAAAGCATTTACAATCTATAGAAAAACTTATTGAACAACCAAAATTTTCTTAATAAGCCCACTTATTACCCGGTTAGAACGCCAAAATTTCTTCATTTGTTTTTGCACAAATATTATTCATTTCCAAAAAAGTGCGCACACACCAAAATTTCTGCGCACACATACTACAAAAATTAGATGGAACATTGCTTATCAAGCAATGAAACTAGAGTTTTTGTGGGGAGGGACTGTAAAATCAGTTTTGCGCCTCGCATTGTACCCCCCTTCAACTGCTCGGTGGCCCCCTCGGTGGTCCATTTACCCCAAGCTCCGCTGGGTTAGACCATTAGACTTGTGCCTTTCTCTACTTTTAGATTAGTTGAATTGAATGCGCTGACAGCAATAAAATTTGCAAGAATCAGATTGTGTGGTTTAGGTAATTTTAAACCAGTCAACATGGACTTCTATAATACTGAACTATTTGAAATGATTTACCCAGACCATAACCCAAAAGGGTAAAACTTGAAAAAGCTGTTTTGAGGAAAAGTGAAATGTATATATTTGACTCCTAAACTTTATTTAAATACTCTGGGCAAACTGCTCCAAACTTATCAGATACCAGCTAAAACAGCACTCACTTCCTTGTGATATTCTCAACAAAAAAATTTATGAAGTTCTACATCCTGAATTGTTGTTTGATATTTATGTTTTATGATTGACAATCAAACGCTTCTTAATTTTAATGTTCTTTTTTTAGTTTGCATCACAATATCAAGCGACAGTGAAGACGACGCCCCTGCCCCGCCCACAAATGGTAAGCTCAATGATTCGAGTGTGAAATAAATTTGGAAGACAGCCTCCGGTTTTGTTAGTATTTAATGTTAAACTTCCTCATAGGTGACGCTACTCGATGACCATCACTTCATACTAAAATGCATTTTTCAATCATGTTTGTACAATGTGTACTTTCGACATATGATAAAATAAACTACTGACTGACGTACCTTCTCTCATATCAGTGCTTGCTTTAAGTTTCCACATTAGTGAAGATTTTACAGAGCTCGCTTGGTAGGAAAGAATGACGTAAGAGTGCAGCATAAAAAATAATCAGCTTTCATTCACAGCTTTTTTTTGGAGCAGTTGTTCTCAAACGGCTGGACCCGCCCCACCTGGGGGGCAGAAGAAAATTTTTAGCTAATTAAACTAATTAAAAACATTTGTTAAATTTGATCTTGCCTGCCTTGTTTTGGATATTTAAATGTCTTTACTTTAGACATCACATTCCATTTTATACATGTTTTCTGATTAAAAAATATTTTTGCCTTACTATCTGTTATTACTTATCGATCTTAAGATCGGTAAGTATGTTGATAGGTATTTGTCTGTTTGTCTGTCTGTTAGATGCACGCGATATCTCACCAAAGCGAGGTTGAATCTGCTTCAAATTTGTATTCATCATAGCTCGGATCAGAAGCCTATTGATTTTCGATGAAATATGTCGTATAATTAGCGTGTTATTAAGTAATTAGTGATGGGACACATGGTGTCACTATGGAGTATAAGCGCTGTTTTGGGGGATCCCCTAACCTTCGATCAATAAGTCTTCGGTCTCTGACCGATATTCTCGTTTGTAGCTTATTGTTATCTATAATTATAATTGAGGTTTGGTGCAGGATTTGGCAAATTCTAAAAAGGGATTCAAAAGTCTAATAACCACTGATTTAGAGTAAAAATACTATAAAAATGCTTCAAAGCTTAAATTAATCATAATTTTATAACTTGTACATTTTCAGTTGAATCAACTTCTCAAAATCAATCTCCACCGGCAACAAGCAAAGAAAGGTAGATTTCTTTTTTTATGTGACCTCTGACCTCACCTTTGACCTCTTTAGTACAACACCTAAAAACTTCTCTTTGTAAGGCATAAATAATACCTACAGGGGTGGTGACTCCTCTACGGCCCATGAGTCGGGGCCACGGCCCATCTAATTGGGCACATGGCCCATCAAGCTATGGCCGCGGCCCCATCAGGAAAAATACAATTATCTTACCAAAATTTTCAATTTTTACAAAATTATCAATATTCAAATAAAAAAAAAATCGCGGTATGCCACCAAATTTTTTTCTCACAATAAGCATTTATATCAAGATAAAGCAAAATACCAAGCTACAGAAAGGGATACTCCTGTAGTATGTGTACCAGGTTGGGGTTAGGACAAAATTTTGTTCAGATTTTTCACAATATAGTTCTATTATGAGTTCGGGGACTGTCTCGTGTTAGCCAAGTCCCTTTGCACAACTTGATGGGCCCCAACCCAATTCGATGGGTCGTGACCCCGGCCCATGGGCCGTAGAGGAGTCACCACTTCCACTCAATAATACATTCTTGTATGATGTAGCGATCTGATATTTAAATTGAGTTTATTCAATTCGTCAAGCGATTTGTTTTATTCTTGTTTTCATATTAATATTCCTTATGCTCATATCCATTGGTGGGATTCAGCCGGTTCGCACCAGTTCTATAGAATCTTCTCACAGAATTTTATGAGATCAGCGAACCGGTTAGCATTACTGATTACTGTCAATAATTTTTTGTAATAGAACCGGGGTAAAATTATGACTTTTGTGATGGAACCGGCTGACAAATAATTGAATCCCACCACTGCTCATATCCATTTTTGTAATTCACAGTTCTATCACCGAAAACGGAGAAATGCCGCCCAAGAAAATTTGTCCGGATGATACAATAGGTAATATTAGATGTTTCATACTTCTTGTGAGGGAGAGGAAAGTCGATAAGACGACTCAAACATGTGGAAAATCATTTGTCATCGTCAGGTCGCCTTCCAAGATGAGCATGGGAATAGTTAATTGTTCCAGTTTAATTAGTGACAGTATTTCGCTTTATGTCCCCCCCCCCCCCACCGCTTCTTACATTGAATCCCCTCGGCTTACTGTGCATGTAACCATCACTGCCTACTCTATTTATTACACCATGGGTGAGTCCGAGTCATTTCATTTAGATGAGTCTTCAATAAATAGTTTTTCAAATTCAACTGGAGCCCCCAACACTCCTATTTACATCACAAATTTCTTCAAATATAGGATGAGCCAAAAACGGAACTAAGGCTATTTGAAACTTGTTGTATGGGTCTCGTTTTTATCGTGTCACCCTGTAATTGTGAAAAATCATTAATTTTCTTGTTAACTAACAAACTTTTTTTCTCACTTTAGAAAAGCCAGAACCTTCTACACCTTTAACCTCATCAACCCAACAACCATCACCAATCTTGAAATCAGACGAAGCTTTGTCGAAATCAACATTAAATCTTTCTGTAGATTCAGTGAGGCTCGGACAGATGAAACTGGTTCCTAAGACTGTACTGAGGGTTAGTTCTTGAGTTTTTTAAAATCAAATCACTCGGAAATAAAATTAGTTTCAAAATTACGACTAATTGATACTAGTGACCGTGTATGATTCGTATTTAAGAATACCGTATATGCTCGTTTCACCGCCTGATCTTGATTAAGGGCCCGTTTGAATAGCCGCCCATGTTAACTGAACATAAAAATAAATAAGGGCCGGTGCTTGAATACCCGCCCGATGTAAAAAGCTGATTTTTCAGTGGTAGAGAACAATGGAAAATAAGGAGCGCTTTTGTCACAATGCTGTAGAATTTTAAGCGCTGGTAGATAACACTCACGCCTTAGGCGTCCAATTACATAACAGATAGCATTGATTACGTAACATCATGGTTCTCAAACTGGGCGTCGCGACTCCCAAGTGCGTCGTTTCAACGTGCGTTTGACGTGAATAAATTGACACGGAAAAAGGATTAATGTCATCAAATATTTGTCTTCGAAGAAACCGTAATTTTTGTGTATAATTTTACTTTGAAAATAACATGCGCCCGTGCTTGAATAAGGGTCGGTTCGAATAAGGGCCCGGTGAGTGAGTTGAAGGGCCCGGTGAGTGAAAAAATATGGGCCCGGGCTACAAAACGAGCAAATACGGTAACGGTACTCATCCTTGTTGTGGATGCTTTAGTGAGAGGTTGGGAGTTTAACAAATAAGCAGAATTTCACTCCACATAATACAAGTTTTATTAGTCTCAGGGGTGTGCAACATTTTTTGTTGGTGGGCCATATAACCAACTTAAGGCTGGGCCAGACAAAAAATTTAGGTGGAACGGCAAGAGAATGGCTCGGCGGTGTGGCTCATCGTGCTAAGCGTTAGGAATACGCTCGCCACCGCACCTCTTATTACTCTGTGTGGGTTCGCAGGTTCGAAGCCCATGCAGGGATGGTTATGTGCGGGAGGATTGCTGGACTCCTCGCCGCCGTAGGGTGGTTGACGTAACCGCTGGTCGGTTACGGCTTCCTCCACCATCAAGTCCATGCTTCCGAAAACAAATAACTAACTAATCCCATACCCGACCTGGAATGGTAACCGGACGAGAGGCCTTGGTTCGCCATATGATTAAGCCGTCTTCTCCCAGGGATAAATATGTATATCCTTATCCCTTATGGTATTGCTTAGCCTTGTAGTGATAAAGACACCAAGCAAAACTGCTAAAGATTTAACACAGTGACAAGAGCAAAAAAAAAAACATATGTATTTTTACCCATGTGAGCGCGTTTTAAACACAAAATGTCAGATTAGATTTTATGCTTGATTGCGAAAATTATTGGGTGTTGAAAAAGGCCACACTAAATGACTTGTTTAGGCTGGGTTATGGGCGGTGGGTCACCTGTTGCACACCCCTCGTCTAGCTAATGCTTAGCCAGCCAATTGGGAAATGAAAGTTGCCAGAAATGCAATTAACACTTTGGTCTTCTCTTTTGTTTTATTCACAGATTTCACATGAGTCGTTAAGCATGACAGCATTCAGCCAAGCTTTACAAAGCAATGTTATTCTGACAATAAATTGGAAGTGGATTATCAGTTGTGACATTTGCACAGATAGCAGAGAACCTTGTATATTCCTGGTGCTCACACAAGGTACGTTTTGGGTCGATGAATTAGGTCGCCATGACAACATTGTGAGATTGTCTCACACTATAATTACAATGGTTACGTAGACTGTGGTGCTCGGAGTCAACTTGTTCTTGTTGAAACGGTGACTGCTTGATATGTACCTGGTTGCATTGATGTATCTATTGCTTTTTACATTTTATTAAATAACATATTTAGTTTGGCGTTCTGTTAGACTTCCCCAAGGGTGCAATTGCTTGATAACCAGTATTGGTTTCGGCGTCTACTTTTACCCTGGAATGCGATTTTTTCATATTTCCTTTTATTTGTGTATGTGTAGTTCATATTTTTAGCATGGTGAAGAAATAAATTACTGATTACTGACTGTGAATTCATGGAAAATTACTCAAATCTGACTGAAACGCTGGGCCACGAAAATTAACAAATTTTGATTCTAAATTCTCGGGAAACCAAATTTTGTGCATTCAAGAATTCTCCAATTGTTTGTTAAGAATTGAAGTGTCTGCCACAAGGCTTTCACTTTAATATTATTTGTGAACTTTTTTTTTAGTCCTCAATCTCATTATACACTTTCTAATGGCATACACATCTCTCAAAACATATTTCATCTATTATAGGTTGCCTGCCTACACTGAGAGCGACTTTGAATATGGTTAAAGGGAAATTTCCGTATTATGACCCGGATGGGAAGGGTGAGTATTTTGATTTTACAACTGCGAAACATAGATTATCAATCATTTAAAACGTTCAGGAGAGATTTCTTGCTATCGACTAGGTCAAAAAAAAAATCGCATTATTGACTAGGTCTTATTTTAAGGGTATGGCTTATATTAAAATCATTTTTAAAATTCATGCTATGTCTCATTTTCGGGGAAACACGGTGATATGGTACCTGATTGAGAAGTTCGCACGTTCCGTAATTTGACAGTAGGCTTGTAATTTAGCGAGGTTTGATAGTAAAATGGAGGCAAACGAACAACAAAGTATTATTCAGTCCATTCAAAAGAGACCCAGCGAGGAAAACAGAAAATTTGTCATACAGCTATTCATTTTTACAAAGAATAACTTACATAGTTACGACTTGTAACTCTCTTGGATATATCCCTGACTAAGTTTCATCAATCTTTTCATATTTTTCAGATGACGAAAGGTTGTTTATCTTTTATATCAGCGCTACTTTTCTTTGTTCAAGTACTCAATGTAATGTTGAAACTTTATTAAGAAAAGTGGAAATAGTTCGTAAAAAAATGAAGAAACCTTCGGTAAGTATTTTTCGATCTTAATTACAGTGTCTCACAAAGCGATAAAGTCTTGTGAAATTGTATTTTTTTTCCAGTCATTCTTCCGACATATAACTTTCGCTGAATCAGAATTGAGACAAAGCAGAGCTGCTGCAAGTATGGAGACTTCAGTGAGTGAGGTAAGACAAGGATTCCCAAACTTTAAGCTCGCAACCTCTTCCATTTTATTAAAAATTTTCGTGACACCTGTCAAGTCGACATTGTTATGCAATCATGCCGCTTCTCTGATCCCATGTATTCTCTCAAAATGCGAGATTCATGTTTTGCACTAGTTTTAATAATTTTGTTTCGAATCGATAATTCAAAAAAGTACAATAGATATAGTACTTTGTGTGAAATTGGTGTACTCATTGCGATCCCTAAAATTGGTTGCGCACCCCCTGCGATGTAAATTTCCCCAAGATATTCAAGACTGGGGTAAAGGCTGCAACTACTGACATTTCACTGAGAGAGTATTCCCTTGCAGGGGCATAGCCAGGGGGGGGGGGAATTTGAGGGTCAGAACCTCTTCTTTCGAAATGTAAAAAAAAGCATTTTCCTGTATCATATGTAGCAATTTACGTGGACTGGAATGCTTTTTGCTTTTAGTCCCTCAAGACCAAAGGTGCACAATCTGCGGTCGTCGTGAAAAAATAATGCGGCCGTCCACATAAAAAATCCTATAAACAAAAAACAAAACAAAAAAGTTCAAAATATAGGATTTGGCGGCTATGTTGTGCAAACTTTTATAGAATAAATTCATCAGCATATTTGACATTTTATTAAAATAGTGGAATCATTATGCAACTTGCTGCAATATATCTGCTCAAGAATAGGTCCACCGAAATGCATATTATACTTCCAAGTAGTCCTACATACTTCATAATTGGGCAGACTGCACCTCGCATGGGTCAAATACGCGGTTATGACGTCATAAAAGCCAAAAAATTCCGAGGCGCGCTCATCAACCCCCTGGAGGCCGTATTGAGTTCAAATAAATGCAATGGGGTCGCCAATAGCAAAAAGGTTGTGCACCCCTCACATAGACTCTTGAAAACTCATGATAGTATATGCCTTTTTAAATTCTTATTTTGATCAAGTAAATCCTAAAAATACTTACCGTATTTTCTCGAATATACGCCTATCACGCGGATAAGCCGACTCCTTAATAACAGCTTCGAAATAGTGAAGTTATAAAAATTCGCATATACGCTGTTTCCACAAATCGTAACACGCGCACGCATCTATTACAGTCAATGATGTTCAATTCAAAATTAATATTCAAATATCGCGATTCGCTACCTTCTTGTATATGGCACACACATTCTAGCGCCGCTGTCCACATTTTGATTAAAACAATTTTCGATTATATTTTCTGTTTTATCGTAATGGAAGACAGCACTTTGCGACACAACTGAATTACTGCCAACATGAAAGGAATCAAATCAGCGCCGACTTGAAGTACCAAACGTATAACATGAGGACATTTTTGATTGAAAATATTTTACAATCATTATTTTATATTAAGGTAGTCGAGATATCCTGAGCGGACACGGCAATAAATTTGGTTATTTTTCGCAAGTCTTCTCAAACATGATTTGTGTGAGCGTCATATATGGGCTGATATATTTTATAATGTATGCCAAAGTGTCTGCCGATTATTTAATTGACTTTGTATACCAGCTGTTATTTGTTTTAATCCTAAAAACAAAAACGTGGCCGGTGCAATGAAGCACTCCCTGCCCGATAACGGCACTTCAGAAAGAAAACGGCTACCACGAAATAAAGTGATTGATTTATGTCCCTTCCGTTTTGCTGATTCAGGAAAAAACCGAAAACACAGCTGTTGCCTAACCCATGGACGTACAGCACAGTATTTATCACATCATATTCATATGTTATTTCAACTCTTCAGTTACCGTAAATGGTTGTTCAAAATGATTGAAATTACAGTTTTATTGTTAAGAATTAATGCTGTGAGTATTATTCTACCTGACACTTCTATCTGATTCTTACTTGTGCACAAATGATAACGTTTTGACCACGAGACGGCTGGTAGATCAATGCTGTTGCTCTTATGCAAAAGATACAATTAAATTTAATCAAATACAAGCGGTCACGTTAATGATCAGACAATCACACCTAGACAAGCGATCGCGTGTGTGGTGTGTGCGAGCACGCTCTTTATCGTGAGAATTAAGCATGGTCTGTAGCTGTTGCAATTACCGGCAAGTCAGCATTATATCATTTCGTTGCGTGATCAAAGTCTCGATGCGCGAAGGAGTCGATTTTTTGGTGCTATCTGAGTTATGCGCGCATAAGACGGTCCCTTAGTTGGGCAACTTTTTTTTTTGAGTTTTAAACTCGGCCTATACGCGATCATATACGGTATATATTCTAGACTCCCACTCCTACCACCACTCAGCAGGCTACATCAACCACTGCATTGACTCCAACAACCACCACCCAAATGCAGACTAGGAAACGAACAATACCTGTGATCTATGAGAAAAACGATGAGTCGCCAGAAGATGATCTGAAGTTTATGTTCACTGGGCCAAGGATAGAGTAAGATTTTGAATTTTTTTCATGACGAGGGGGGGTTCCATACTTCCACTCTGAACAAGGCTCTGAGCCCCCACTGTCACGTATGATGATTTGTTGATATTGTATTATTTCGTTTTGGTAATTATAGGCGACTGGCCTGTTCACTTCATTTTATTGTTTCACTCTCAATTGACTTTGTATCTACACAGTTTGATTTTTGTAGATGATCAATTCTGATTTCATTGGTCCAGTTGCTTTTCTCAATGTTGGCATGACATGTTAGGATTACCTGGATCAAATTTCATGCCAACCACTCAGGAGCGTAGCCAAGTTAAGGTCGACTCCCCACCCCCCTTTAAAATATAAAAAAAAAATTTTCATTGGACCTGCTAGCTGTTATCGTCCAAATCGGCAATTACATATCCCGTAACCCTCATTACTTATCTATCTTGATCGGTAATCATCATATCTCAGACTAGAAGCCCAGTGTTTTTCGATGAATTACGTTGTATAACTAGCGAGTTAATTAATTAGTGATGGGACACGCAGTGTCGCTATTGAGTCAGAGCAAAAGAATAGAACCTGCAGTTTCTGTTTTGGGGGATCCCCTAACTGAACATGCAGAAGATCAATAAGTCAGTGGTTTCTGATCGCTATCTCGTATTTCTATATTTAAGCATTTCTCTTTTGTTTTATCACAGATTATTTGTTTATCCTCCCCCTCCCACCAAAGGAGGAATCTCAGTTAGCAATGCTGATCAGTTTTGTTTGAATGAGGGGGAATTCCTGAATGATGTCATAATAGAATTCTATTTGAAGTAAGTATGAGAGTACTATTTGAAGTCAGTGGCTGCATTTATCATCAATGAAAGTAACTTGTGTTGTGCATGTTAACATGGCAGCACCAGAAAATATTTATTCAGTAATATTCCAATTTGTATTTTAAGTACTCCTGTAGTATAGGGTTAGGGATAGGGCATAATTTTGTTCCAATTTTCCTTATTTTAGTTCTATTACGAGTTCAGGGATTGTCTGTGTTAGCCAAGTGAATATAACCCTTTCCATAGGTTTCAGTCCCTTTACACAACTTGATGTGAAGTAATACTCGTTTCACTATCGGTCCACTTACTGCTAGGGTCAGTAATTCGATGCGTATTTGTTTTTTTCCTCAATGACTTTGTTTTTATTTGTGTTATATTTCACTTTAGATCAGAAACATCAAAATTTGGTTTTAGTTTGGCTGTGACAGCATCAGGCGGGCCAGAATGAAAAACTTAACGGGCCAGATTTGGCCACATGTCAGCTTCAGATTCATTCTAAGTGTGCTTTAGATTCAAGTTGAATAAAGCCTTATATCAAGGACATTCAAGGGTCTCATATTCTAATTCATTGCACTTGTAATATATTATTTTCAGATATGTTTATGATAAATTCCTGTCTCCTTCCGATCGAGAGAGAACTCACATGTTCAGTTGTTTTTTCTATGAACGTTTGATGCAGAAAAATGTTCGAGATAAATTGAAAAATAAAGACATAAGGTAAGCTTACATTCGTGACAGATGTACAGCCAAGATATTTTCAATGAGAGGGAGGGGGATTACTTGAAATTGATACTCAAATGGTAGAAAACTCAAATTTTCAAACGAGGGGTTACGACCCTCGTAACCCATAACCCCCCATGCTATTTGTTGATGACACTTTTGGCCCCAAAATAATAATCCCATTGGATAGAATGACAAAACTTTGAGTAACGCTTAAAACGCACAGAATACAAAATGGAAGGTTTTGCCAAAAATAAGTTATTCTACTATAACTATATCACTTCGATTGATAAATTGATTTTATTTTTTCAATATCTCATTGGGGTTATAAATCTAACTTGACTCTTTTTTTTCTTTTCAAACGCACTAACATTTATTTTATGAAGAAAGTTTTTTTGTTAAGCTGAAGGTAGGCTACCAGTAATGTAAGAGATTTGTTTTGGCATTAGTGTCTATATATTTGAGCATCGCGTTGTACTTATCAATCTTAACTCTAACAAGTTTCAATAGAAGTTTTAAAATTTGTTAAAACACATGGCGCCAAGCAGTCATGGGCATTCTAACACCAATCCCAATAGCCTCTATTCTCTTCCTTACAGCCCAGCAGAACGCCGTCATAATCAAGTGAAGAAGTGGACGAGAAACGTCGACATATTTTCGAAGGATTATTTATTTATTCCAATAAATGAAGCATCACACTGGTGAGAATATGATATGTAATTTAATTTTTATAAAATGAGTTTGCTCAGTACTAGATCACATAGACACTCACTCAGAAGTAAAGAAGACTCATATCTGAGCAAAGTTACGGACACTCACTCAGAAGTAAAGGAGACTCATCTCTGAGCAAAGTTACAGGCATCCACTCAGAAGTGAATGAGACTCATATTTGAGCAAAGTTACGGACACTCACTCAGAAGTAAAGTAGACTCATCTCTGAGCAAAGTTACAGCACTCACTCAGAAGTAGAGGAGACTCATCTCTGAGCAAAGTTGCGGACACTCACTCAGAAGTAAAGGAGACTCATCTCTGAGCAAAGTTACGGGCACTCACTCAGAAGTAAAGGAGACTCATCTCTGAGCAAAGTTACGGGCACTCACTCAGAAGTAAAGGAGACTCATCTCTGAGCAAAGTTACGGGCACTCACTCAGAAGTAAAGGAGACTCATCTCTGAGCAAAGTTACGGGCACTCACTCAGAAGTAAAGGAGACTCATCTCTGAGCAAAGTTGCGGACACTCACTCAGAAGTAAAGGAGACTCATCTCTGAGCAAAGTTACGGGCACTCACTCAGAAGTAAAGGAGACTCATCTCTGAGCAAAGTTACGGGCACTCACTCAGAAGTAAAGGAGACTCATCTCTGAGCAAAGTTACGGGCACTCACTCAGAAGTAAAGGAGACTCATCTCTGAGCAAAGTTACGGGCACTCACTCAGAAGTAAAGGAGACTCATCTCTGAGCAAAGTTACGGGCACTCACTCAGAAGTAGAGGAGACTCATCTTTGAGCAAAGTTATGGGCACTCACTCAGAAGTAAAGAAGACTCATCTTTGAGCAAAGTTATGGGCACTCACTCAGAAGTAAAGAAGACTCATCTTTGAGCAAAGTTATGGGCACTCACTCAGAAGTAAAGAAGACTCATCTTTGAGCAAAGTTATGGGCACTCACTCAGAAGTAAAGAAGACTCATCTATGACCAAAGTTATGGGCACTCACTCAGAAGTAAAGAAGACTCATCTTTGAGCAAAGTTATGGGCACTCACTCAGAAGTAAAGAAGACTCATCTTTGAGCAAAGTTATGGGCACTCACTCAGAAGTAAAGAAGACTCATCTTTGAGCAAAGTTATGGGCACTCACTCAGAAGTAAAGAAGACTCATATCTGAGCAAAGTTATGGCACTCACTCAGAAGTAAAGAAGACTCATCTATGACCAAAGTTATGGCACTCTCTCAGAAGTAGAGGAGACTCATCTCTGAGCAAAGTAACGGGCATTCACTCAGAAGTAGAGGAGACTCATATCTGAGCAAAGTTATAGCACTCACTCAGAAGTAAAGGAGACTCATCTCTGAGCAAAGTTACGGCCACTCACTCAGAAGTAAAGGTGACTCATCTCTGAGCAAAGTTACACCACTCACTCAAAAGTAAGAAAGACTCATCTCTGAAATCTCATCTAAATGAGCATTCATTTAAATAAAGTCAGTGTCGATCAGCTATCAATCACCAATGCCAATCCTAAAAATTCAGTATTCCTGAAGTATGCGTACCAAGATGGCGGACACCAGAACGAAGTATTTGTACCAAGTCAGGGTTGGGCCATAAATTTATTCCAATTTTCCTTATTTTAGCTCTATTACGAGTTCAAGGACTAGCCAAGTGGGTCCCGTAATATTTGTGCCTGAAATTATTGCCTAATCCAAACCTGGTACACATACAACGTTCCGGTGTCCGCCATCTTGGTACGCATACTTCAGGAGTACCAAAAATTCTACATCATCTCTTTTCACTTGTTCAGGTATATAGCTGTTATATGCTTCCCTGGTATGGATGCCAGTGAGATGATCTGTTTGTCTAGTGAAACCACAGAAAATATGGCCCCAAAAATGCTGAAAACTAAAAAGGAAGAAAAAAAATGTCAGAAAATTGCGAAATCTGAAGAACCGACTAACCAAGGTACATGAATACAACCAAGAATACATGAATACAATATCAGAGTTATTTTAGTATTTGAAATAGATCATTATGGAAATATGAAGGTAGCTGTTGTTATATATATATATATATTGCTGGTGAATGCATCTATCACGATTGTAGCTCGTTTTTTCAGACTTTCAATAAAAGTCAAAGCCAATGTCAAGTTTAGTGTTAAATTATTCTTTACCCCGATATTTGTTGTAAAATACATACCATGTATACTCACATATGAAACGAGTTTGAAACTAAAAAAAGGGATCGACTGATACATGCATAACTCTGACGCACTGAAAATTCGGTTTATATGTGCTAAGTTCTCACAATACGAGTGCACACACACTCGATGCAGCGCTTGGTACACTATACCAGTGATAACAGTCCATGATTGGTTGTCATACACATGAGCGCTTGCTTGTTTACGCTATGACACGATTTTGAGACACTTCTTAACGGTATTGATGAAAGTAAAACACAACAATAATCGTTATCATTTTCATTAATTCTCTTCTGCAACCATTTGCTGTGTTGGCGAATTCTGCGTGTTACGATTTGTAGGGTCGGCTTATATGCGAGGGTATATGGAACTTGAATTTTGTTCATATTTTAATTTCCGTTGTTTTTTATGAGGCTTCCTACAACACTAGGGTTTGAAATTTGGCTCTGACACTAAAAAAGGTTGAGAAACACTGAAACCAATCCTGGGCCGCTTGCATAAAGTATTGTTCAAAGCTACATGCAAAAATTTAATAAAGACATTAATTTTTTTCACAGGTCCTGATCCGGCATCCTCCTTGCCTTCAAGTATGCAGTATTTATCTTTCTATGGAAAAGAGGAAGATAGTGAGGGTCAAGGGTCGTCAATTTCCAGGAAGTGTGACTCAAAAGATCAAAGTTCAAATGAGGTTCAACGGTCGTCAATGTCCAGGAAGTGTGACTCAAAAGATCAAAGTTCAAATGAGAATCAAAGGTCACCGAACTCGGAAGAGTCAAGGTCATCTGAAAGTCACAGGATTTCACCAAATCTTGACTCGCAACCTGGTATACACACTAATAAACGGAAAAAGTTAATTTTAATTAATTTACCAAATTTTAAACATCGTAAAAAAATAAAACCGAATTCTGGGCCGCGGCGTGTACCCATACATACGGACACTTTGGAAAATTCTGGCGAACACAATTTCGGCCTCAGATCCCCGTGGAAAAGTCCCGATTGTTCTAAAACTAACGTGACAGACAAAATAGGTGCAAAAGATAGTGATGAAAATTCTGAAGAACGTCTGATACCTATTCATTTGGACTCTCCAGAGAATTCAAACAATCGCAATATTTTGCCCAAATCGCCATTGAAGAACTGCGATCATTTTATAAATGGCACGACAGACAAAATTGATGCATTGTCGACAATAACGATGGAATCTTCTCTTCAAATAGAGAAAAAATCTTGTGAAAATGTGGAATCAGATATTGATGAAATACAAAGTAGTTCAAATTCTGGTGACAAAAGCTCTATACCATCACCTAGTGGTTGTCACAATATTATTCAAACTACAATAAAGCAAGTAATTCAAGTTTTAACGATCAAAACAACTCTGTATCACCACATAGTGGGCAAACTAAACAAGACGATCTAAATTTTGACGAGTCAAGTGAGATGGAAATAAGTCGTGACGATATGATTACGAAACATAACACTCAACTGAGATTCTAAAATTACCTCAATTTCTGAGAACTCTGCAAAAAATGCAGTCTCAGCATTGTCAAATAGTGATGATTCATCACTTTTTATAAATAATGACATCAGCATAAAAAGTTCATCAGAAAATGAACTTGACGTTACTGAAGGTGAAAATCACTCGAGCATGACTGATTGTAATTGTGACTCAACAGGCGATCCGCCCATTTCCACAAATGTTTCCGTTTTTTCCCCAAAAATTGAGCACTCTAGTCATGTATTACCTCCTACTCCCTCTGACTGCTCCCTCGCTTCACAAAATAGGGAGGGGGCTTCCCCTAAGAGCTGTTCTGATGAAGTATTCGAACTCTATCTCTCCCCTGAGCATAGTAATGTAACGTTATCCAAAGAGCTTGAACAGCGATGTATCATCAGTCCAAATCGTAAATTAAGGGTTCAGCTCCCTCGTGTGGCCAATCAAAGCCCGAGAATAGTAAAACCGATTATAATCAATAGCACTTCGTCGCTCTCTAGTGACTGTTCGTCTGTAATTGTTTTATCGTCAGATAACGAGACTTTTTTACCCAAATCCAAGAAAATTTCTCCAAAAAAATTGACGTATGAAAATGTGCAGCATAAATTATCAAATAATGAGCAGTGTAGCGGAACAACGTCAAATTGTGAAAGTCAGCCATCTGGAACATCGATTGTTACATCACAAAACTCTATGAACTCTCCAGCTGATGAACCTTCATTACATTTAGTATTTGAAACTTCAAGTCATGAATTGTCAACCTTTGAACTCCAACCTTCGACCCCGAAACCTGATACAAAATCACCACAGACAAGTCCAAGTAAAAATGAATCGGCAATTGAAGATACCGAAAACAGTGTTCCAACGAACTCAGTCAAGTGCGACAAAGATTGTTCCGCTGGACTGAACAACGAAACTGCCGAGTCATCTCCAAATTCTGCCATGTCATCAGAGATTGGTACTGAAAAGAAAAGTACTCTCACTGATTTACCAAAACCCAATACCTCTACCCAAAAATCTGAATCAGTAGATTCTAAAGAAAATAACGAGACTGATAATGTATCGAATAAACACTCGATGGCACCAGAAAATGGTGCTGATAATTCAAATAATAACATTCTATCAGAAACAAAATTTAACGACACGAAAGAACACAATTTAGTGGTAGAAAATGCATCCCAACGCATAGATGAAAACTCTCAAGCAAAAACAGACAATAAGAGTGATGTACCTACCAGTGTTACCTCTGATA